AGGTTGTTTATTTTTGATGCAGGGTTTTGGGTGGAAGGGCCAGATCGGGAACGGGCGCGCCACGCTTCCCAGATGTTGCTGTGGGATCGCGCCCGTTTGCTGCGCCCCCGATCCGTCCCTCTCCCGGCCCAAAACCTCTCGTGTGACCGGGGCCAGCGCAATCCTTTGCAAAGTTGCTCCAGCCTAACCCCATGATCAGCAGACTTAGACTGGAGTAACACTGCAGACGATTGCACTGAAAATCTCGTAAGAGTGGCACTATCATTACTGAAAGCGATAGGGACAGATTAAGAAACCTGAGCCTTGGCAGTGGATGTGCACACACAAGGGAAACCAGGCTGTGGAATCCTAGAATTGAGTGAAGTTTTCTGGCTACTCACATCACTTGATCAATCAAAACATGGCAATTCTCTGATCCTTGTTCATTTTGGAATAGTTTTGAGTGCAACAAGTCAGTGGCTTTATCCATACCACAAGATACTGCCAGTCTGTAACTGTGGATGACCATAGAAAGGAAGTTTGTGTGCAGATAATAAGGCTTCAATAGATGCCTTTGGAAGTGGTAGGCCTCTCACAACCCTCAACAATTTCTTCAAGTTACAGTCAAAAGCCAACGTATTGCCAGTGATGTTGCCTCTCAAAACCAGTGCACTTGCTGCACACCAAGTATTGCACAGCTGGATTTAAAAAATACCAACAACATATTGCTAAAGCAGACATTTGTCATCTTAGGCTCTTGCTCTGTGTCAGTACCTGGAATCAGATCAACAAGAAATCAACCTCAAAGACAAGAAAGTGATTGAACTTGGAGCTGGGACAGGCTTGGTGTCCATAGTGGCAAGTATATTAGGTTGGTATTTTGTGACAGTGTACTAAGAAAACATTTTTTGGGGGAGGGTGTATTAGTACCTGCTCTGTTTCTTCTGCCTCACACACTTCTGCTCATTTATACAAATGCACTTTTTAATTCTCCCTGTCTCCATGCAGTATTTCTCTACACAAATATTCATTGTTTTCCCTCTGATAAATCCCTTTCCACTGACCTTTGATTTTGGGCAAGGCACGGTGATGTGGACAGTTTAAGGTTAAAAAGGACAAAAAAGAGAAAAGGGAAAAAAACTGAACCTAAAATCTAGAATTCAGAACCTTAAAAGGTTAGTCGAAAATAGAAGAGGGCCAACTCTAAAAATCTAATTATGAAACATACAAAAATATACATGTATTTATTCAACACAAATTAAAATAACAAACAAGGGCCCAGGATTCCGCGGGATTCTGCCTAGCAAGAGCCTAATTTGTTACCCTTAAAATAAAACCTTAAAAAATGTGACTTAACCAAAGCTGCCCGGAGCCCTGAGCTGCAGGAAATGTCCACTGCGTGTGTTAAGATGCTCTCAAGTCACTTCCGACTTACAGAATGTCCTGTTGTTGTTAACAGCCTTGCTCAGGCCTTGCACACTGAGGCGGCTTCCTCGACTGAGTCCGCCCATCTCATGTTGGGTCTCCCTCTTGCCCTGCTGCCTTCTAGAAGGTGCAAATCCACATGCAGACCAGGGGTTCCATTATGAGGCTGATCATTTCACTCAGCCAAGGGGTGTTCTGCAGAATCTTAGACAGAGGCTATTATATTTTTGTATGTTTCATAATTAGATTTTTAGAGTTGACCCTCTTCTATTCTTGACTAACCTTTTTAGGTTCTGAATGACAGTTTAAGGTTCTCAGCAACTGAAATTTCATAACACACGGTTACACCTCAGCGGCTGAGCCAGGGGCTGAAGAGAACTCATTCCAGTCATCTGAAGCCAGAGCTCTTATGGACTAGAGTGGCCGGGTCCCTCCTGGCTCCTGGTGGGGGATGGGGGGGGGTAGGGTTGCCAGATCCAGGTTGGGGAACTCCTGGGGATTTGGGGATGGAGCCTGGGGTGGGCAGGGACCTCAGTGGGGTACAATGCCATAGAGCAGACCCGTAGCCAGAATTTCTTTGTTAGGGGGGCAACAGCACTATGATTAGGACTAGGCTTGCCGCTTTCCAGATGGAGCCTGGAGATCTCCCGGGATTATTACTGTCTCCAATGAAATTAAATCAGAGTTCACCTCCAGTTCAGAAGCATGCTTTCTTTTTGGAGACCCAGGTTCAAATCCCATTCTGTCATGGAAGCTTGACCTTGGGCTAGTCACATACTCTCAACCGAACCAACCTCACAGGGTTTTTGTGAGGATAAAATGCAGGAGGGAACAACAATGTTAAGTCCCTTTGGGTCCCCAGTGGAGAGAAGGCAGGTTATAAATGACATGTCTGGACGTAAGACCAGCATCAAAAAGAGATCCCCCTCCCCAGCAATGGCTTCCCTTCAGAGAAGCCCAGCTGATTGCTTCTGCCAGGTCTGAGGCCCCACAGACCCCTTCACCTCAACCACAGACAACAGTGGGGAAGGCCTTGCACAGCGGCTTGGACCCACTGAAGGAGGGAGTGGGGGCAAGCAGTCCAGGGAGGCGGAGAAACCTGCTGCGGAGAAACCACAGGGGGCAACTGGAAGTCATGGCAGCCGCCAGGACGGATGGTGGAGGGGCTGACCCAGGCCCGAAGATGCCTCTTTCAGGACAACTCGGGCCAAAAGAACCTGGCAGGAGCAGGCAGGTACAGCGACGGGGATGAGACTTCACCAGTGTTCCCTCTAAGCTGAGTTAGTGTGAGCTAGCTCACAGATTTTTAGCCTCCAGCTCACACATTTTCGTCTTCGCTCAGGAAGGAGGGCTCCAGAGCAAACTAATTTATGCAGCAGCCAAATCGCTCGCTCACAACTTTAATGCCAGGAGCTCACAAAGTAGAATTTTTGCTCACAAGACTCCACAGCTTAGAGGGAACATAGGACTTCACCCAGCACTGGTGCTCCCGGGGTGGGCCAGGCAGCAGCAGCCTCGTGGAGCAGACCTGATCCCTCCTGCACCAGCTGATTGGTGAGGGGCCACGGCAAATTTGGGAGGGGGCATCATCCTTGTGCCCCCCCCGTGGCTACAAGCCTGCCATAGAGTCCCCCTTCAAAGCATCCATTTTTCTCCAGGGGAACTGATCACTGCAGTCTGGAGATGAGCTGTAATTCCAGGGGAATCCCCAGGCCCCACCTGGAGGCTGGCATCCTTATTACAGACAGTAGCTGCATACCAAGTCTTTATCTGACTAAATTGGCTAATCAACATTTTTCTGAAAGTCTATGTTGCCTGGCCTTTGATATCCTTTTCATCCCTCAGGGATCATGATAAGTGCCATAAAATGACCCAAAGCAGGTTTTTACACCCAAAATACATATGCTGATTATGTCATCGAGAACTAAAACTCAGAATGCCGGCATTTGTTTAGTCCGCAGGATTCTGCCTAGCAAGAGCCTAATTTGTTACCCTTAAAATAAAACCTTAAAAAATGTGACTTAACCAAAGCTGCCCGGAGCCCTGAGCTGCAGGAAATGTCCACTGCGTGTGTTAAGATGCTCTCAAGTCACTTCCGACTTACAGAATGTCCTGTTGTTGTTAACAGCCTTGCTCAGGCCTTGCACACTGAGGGCCTTTGTGGCTTCCTTCCTTCCTTTATTTATTTGTTTGTTTCCATTTTTATCCCGGCTTGCCACAGAACTGGCTCAAGGCGGCTAACCACATTGATACACTAAAGCAATAAATACATTAAAATACAATGAAATATACAACAAAGCCTAAGCAGCTAAACAGTACTAATATAAAGATGGCGGAGTACAACATGCAAACAAAGGCAATGACTCCTTGACTGAGTCAATCCATCTCCTGTTGGGTCTTCCTCTTTTTCGGCTACCTTTTTCTAGCATTATGGTCTTTCCAGTGACCCTTGCAGGGCTGTTTTTGGGCAGGAACGCAGTTCCGGCTGGCTTCAGAGTTGGTCACGCCCACTACAGCCAAAACCTCTGTGCGCATGGCTACAGAGGAAAGAATCTGATACCATACATATTTTTTAGAAATGATTTGGAAAATATTTGAACACCTAGTCTTAAAATATTTTATTCATCATGTTAAAATAAAATATTCCATAATCATTTTTTTCCTTTTCTCAATTTTTCCAATTTTTCGGAAAAAAACAGGGAAAAAACCGTTCCCCCCCTTAATTTTTCTGGTTTTTTTCCGGGCCTTCACATCTCTAGCTATGGCATACTCATTTAAAGAATGATCCCTTATGAATGGCTTGCTCCTGCAGTGGGCAGTTAAGCAGTTATTATTCTGACACACTAACAATAGAAATCGTTAGCCTGAAAGGAGAGGCAGGGTGCTTTCTTAGATGGTACAGTGAACAGCCTTCCATTCTCTTTCAGGGGCTTTTGTCACAGCCACCGACTTGCCTGAGGTACTAGAAAATCTGGAATTCAACATTACAAAAAACACACGGGGCATGGACATTCACAAGCCTGAAGTACGAAAGCTGGCATGGGGAGAAAACCTTGACCAAGATTTCCCCAAGTCAACCCACCCGTATGACTTCATTGTGGCTACGGATGTTGTGTACCACCACACTGCTCTGGATCTCCTGTTGGCCACAATAGACTACTTGTGTCAGCCAGGGACGACCTTGATATGGGCAAACAAATTCAGGTTCAGCACAGATTATGATTTTTTGGACAGACTCAGCAACATATTCAATATCACGCAGATAGCAGAATTCCCAGAGTCAAATGTCAAATTGTTCAAAGGTACAGTGCGAGAAAATTAAAATAGGAAGGTACACCAGAACCTTCATTCAGTGTTAGGCGACTTAGTTGATGGAGCACAGCTTTTAGAAGTCTCTTTCTCTGCTTTACTATTGCCTAGTCTATTCGGGGAAAAAACCTCTGCAGCTCTATTTCCTGACCCGAAGGAATGATGAAGCAATTAGCCATTTACAACTATTCTTAAGAACATAAGAGAAGCCATGTTGGATCAGACCAATGGCCCATCTAGTCAAATACCCTGCGACACACAGTGGCCCAAACCCAGATGCCATCAGGAGGTCCACCAGCAGGGCCAGAACTCCAGAAGCCCTCCCACTGTTGCTCCCCAAGCACCAAAAATATGGAACATCACTGTCCCCAATATAGTGTTCCCTTTATACCTTGTGGCTAATAGCCACTGATGGCCCTCGACCCATGTTCATCCAATCCCCTCTTGAAGCTGACTATGCTTGTAGCTGCCACTACTTCCTAGTAGGCACACATGCTACCCAACTGCATCCTTCCATTAACAACATTGCCTGGGTGTTTGTGTTGAGCTATAAGCCTTGGACTGAACTTGTTCCAACCATCCGTTGTTGCTAAAGAAAGACTGGAAAGGAGAGGCCTATTTTTACTCTATATAATGATGCCATATGAAGGCACAAAGACACTAATCCAAATTGGCTGAAGTATAGAGATGTGGGTAATGCCAAAACATGTGTGTGTGTGTCATGGTTTCAAAATGCAAGGACAATCTAACTGCAGATAACGGGGCACTACTCTTTTTATAGTTACTACCAAATAACCAACCTGCTGCTGTTGAAGTGAACAGTACGTATATACTCAGGGGTGTCAGAGTGGGATGCAAGTGTGAGAAACAGAACACAAGACCACAGTGTCTTACCATTAGTGACTGCTCAAGTCTCAAGTCACCACTGACTAGTTAACAGACCTCATTAACCACCCTGGTGTATAAAATGTACACTGATCCCCTATTGTTTGCAGCACCACTAAAAACATTGATTTGTACCTTATCTCCATGGAGTCAAATATGCTGCTAGATGCAGGGTTGAATGCAACTGCGCCCTTTGCATTCTCCCAGAGGGGAGGGAGGAGGTTTCCATGGGAATTTCCCCTCTTGATCTGGCAGCCTCCCATTCTTTATCCTTTACTGGTCTCTAAGGTCTCCCCCCCCCCAATCCTCAGAAGCAGTGTTTTGGGTGGCTTCAGAAACAAAGCAGAGCTCTACTCTGGGAGGGGGGGGGACCCTTCTGCCTTCAATCCATTTGCTATAAAATTAACAATGAACTTGTAATGTCTCCCTAAAATACTCTGAAAAATCAGGCCTCACCTTTATTGTTTTACTTTAAAACAATCTTTGTTTGTTTTAAATGAAATACGAGTGTGAAAGTTTTAGATCTTGGAATTTGCACGTTTATTCTGTAGTTTTACATTTCTCCCAACATTATTAAACATATATATATATGTATAAGTTTACAATACCTGATTAAGTGTTAACTGTCTGACACTTTATACACATGTATCAGTTTATCCTGACACTGCTTCACATGGATATATTTGAGTATATCTCCAGCTTGAAGATATTCAAGAGCACCTTTGCATCAGCAATTCAGAATACACTTGTTGTGAATTTGAAAGGTTTTGCTGTTTAAAAAATTCAAATTGTAAACTCTTGCAAATGATAAGTTTCATTACTGTTAAGTCTAATAAATAAGGTTTTAGCTACTGTTGATGTAGCTTTTTTTAAGGCCTTCATACAATTGAAAATTTATGTTTAAACGTGTTAAAACCCCACTGCTCACTGTAAAAAGAACAGCTTGTACAGGCTTGTGGTTAAAAATACAAACAGTTAAGAACCACATACACATGCAAGAAACTCATCTTCATTTCGTAATCTTTTGCACTGGCCATACGAAAACATCCATTGCCAGCAATGTGACGTACGCAAAAGGTTTTGGTTGGCATGTTTTCAGTTCTAGGGTAACCCCAAGAAATGATGCGTCAAAGTCTAAAAAGGCTCCCTGTCATCAGGGGTCAAGATAGCGCACACGTATATTGCGATCCTTTGTCCGTTGAGTAATACACACAATTTAAGCATTCAATAAATGGATGAAAACATGCATTCCAGTAAGATCATCATGTATCGTTATATCCGGTCAAGGTGAGCACCTCTGATTTACAACTGCAGGTTATTTCAAAACACACAATAGTCAGGTGGATACATGACAGGAAGCCAGTTTTCAGAGAAAGATGCACAGTGAGTCCATCCAAGTGACTTCATTAGCTAAAAAAAAAAAGGGGGGGAGAGAATTACAGTTTTCCTTTTACATTCTATGCTATTCTCCCTAAAAGAGAAGTTAGTTTTCACAGTCTTATGGGATTCTAAAACCTCCCCAGAAGTGGGGCGATATTAAATCCATGCATCTAATCTACTGGTGTTCTAACTAGTCAAGCTTAGCATGCTTTCATAGTTCCTAAAATGCAAGTGAAACTTGCACGCAGCTTTATTTTAAAGGATATAATGGTAATTGCTTACCTGGATACAGTTCTTCAGGTTGTCTTTGGTTGGTTTCTCCTCAGCGAGTTTTGTGGCAAATTTGAGGCCCCTCCCATACATTTTATTTACCAGCGCATGTTTGTATGCAAAAGGCAAAACCTACAGAGTGTATAAAACAAGAGGATTCACAGACGGAATCTAAGGCCTGTGCAGCTCACCTGCCTGAGTTCTCCTTCAGATATTATAGCACAACTGGAAGAAGTGGAAGCAGAAGACTGTGGGTCTCACAATGTCTCATGTAACTCTAAGGTTCTCTCTTGTCTAATACTAAATGCTGTAGACAGCTGCACTGGTCTGCATAAAAATTCAAAAACCAAAGTGCTGTGCAATTACAGTTATTTACAACCAACTTCAGCATCACAACACGACAACAAACTTCTCAGTGCTCCATAATTCTTCATCAGGCTGGGTGCCCAGAAGAAGAAAAGGGGTGGGGTGGGGGGGGAGAGAAGAGCAAGAATACGCATTTATTTATTTATTTAACTGCAGTTTTGAATCGCCTAATCCCCACACTGTGGGGCTCTAGGCGATGTACAGACTTAAAACCATAAAAAGCATTTCAACACATGTAATTAATTAAAATCAAGTGGTGAAACTTCTTACGGTCCCCTCCCCTTTTCGGCCTGTGGGTGCCTCATGGGTACAGAGGGGAGGAATTAAATCCTTCAGGGGACAGAGATCCGGGAAGGGTGCCAGACACGATGTAAGCCACTGCTGCCCTCAACCAAACGCCTGGTGGAAGATCTCTGCCTTACAGGCCCTGCAGAACTGCACAAGATCCCACAGGGCCCTGGTGCTATTTGGCAGAGAGTTCCACCAGGTCGGAGCCAGGACCAAGAAGGCCCTGGGCCTGGTTGGGGACAGCCGGATGTATCCAAACACATTTTCTGTAGTCATGCAGCCTGATTAAATGTTTTGGAGTACTCAAAAATTTTGTATGCTGTACTGATGATGATACTGTATTCGCAATACAAACCCAAAGAACTCGGTGCAGAACCTTAATGAGATTAATAACGGATTTTGGGTCAGTTTCCAGTTACAAAGTGAACAATAGCCAGTCAGGACTAATGGATGTGGGGTTAACAGAGGAGGATAAACAATTAATGCATCATGGAAGCACGAAAGGATAAGATATTTAGGTATTCTTATCTCTAATGGCTTAGGCTCCTTGATGCAGCAAAATGATTTAAAGAACTGGTCAAAATACAAGCTAACTTGGTTGGGGTCACTTTATCCTTGTTAAGATGAAAATACGACCAAGATTCCTTTTTATAATCATGGCACCTTCATTGATAATAAAATGTTCTCTATTAATTCAGATTAAACAAATGCTCAGTAGATTTATCTGGGAAAACAGAAAGCCTAGAATTAAAAATCCAGTGCTTCCACAAACACGAGACAATGCTGGCCTGACGACACCCCTCCACTGAAAGAAACCATCTCGCTGCAAGGCTTGCTGCTATAACTAATTGGTTTGCAAAACACAAGACAGTTGCAGGATGGGAGATAGAACAACGTCGTCTGTCTTGTCCCCTTGACATTTGGAGCTGGAAAAACCAATAGACAAAGGGCTGATCCTGGCACAATGTACATCCACATGGTATTGACTAAAGCATGGGATGAGAGTAAAAAGAAAGTGAAGTTGGATAGCACCCCATGCGTGCCAGTACTACATCGTGATGGATTTGAGGAGATTTTTGAAGTAACTGATTTCAGTATGGGAGAGATTAAGAATGACAAAAAGAGTTGATTTTACTTAACATAAAACTCTTAAAACTTTTAAAGAACTCCGAGTTGAAGCTAGTGAAACCCCCTTACCATTCTTTCAGTATCTTTAAATAAGGGGTGTCACCCAGAACAAATTAAATCAGAGGGACACGCTACATCCTTTAAATGAAGCTGAACTCATTTTAAACAATTTAGAACTGCATAGGGAAAGTGTGGTAACTATTTATAGCCCGCTAGCGGACTTAGAGGGCAGGAGTACTTTCTACAAGAACAGGTGGGGGAAAAACTTGCATATTACTATTTCAGAAGACCTCTGGCAAGAATTGCATGAGGATGTGGTCAAGGTATCATTAAATACAGGTATAAGGGGAAATATCTTAAAAATCATTGTATACATGGTACCTCACAGCTGAAAGGTCTGCAAAAATGTTGGCAGGTGCTTCTAAATTATGCGGAAGATGTAATAACGAAGTAAGTACTTTATTTCATGTTTGGTGGGCTTGCCTATTAGCACAGGATTATTGGGCCAGCATACTTAGGGAGCTAAATAGCATCTTAAATTGTAAAATAACATGCTCACCTAAGGTAGCCCTGCTAAATATTTTTCCAGCAGAGCTTTCAACGGAAAGGAAGTATGTCTTTAAAAACCTGCTGGCTGCCACTAGACAACTGTTGGCACAGGCTTGGAAGCAACTATGACTACCTGATGTGGAGGTATGGATTTGTAACATATCTGGTATGTGGTCCTGATCAGTGTTCCCTCTAAGCTGAGTTAGTGTGAGCTAGTTCACAGTTTTTTGGTCTCCAGCTCATAGATTTTTGTCTCAGCTCAGGAAGGATGGCTCCAGAGCAAACTGACTTATGCAGCAGCCCAATCACTCACTCACAACTTTAATGCCAGTAGCTCACAAAGTAGAATTTTTGCTTGCAAGACTCCACAGCTTAGAGGGAGCACTGGCCCTGATGGATAAAATTACAGCATATAGAAAGATTTGTGAAGGCAAAATAGACTCTCAGGGAAGGCTTGTTGGGACTTAGCTTCCATTCATCAAGTACTGGAATAGATATCAATCTAAAGAGCAGGCTAAGGAAGAAATCCTAAGATATATCTAAGTAGGGGTTCTAGCGCATATAAATATAGTGTTAAGGAAGGGTTGCTTTATAAGCAGCAGTTTTGATAATAGACTTTGCTTTTAGTTGAGTGTGACTGAATTCTGGGTTGTATTTGATCATATTTTCCTGCTTTGTAAGATTATTGTGCTTATTAATGAGGCATAAATATAAATGTGTGATGCATTGTGATATGCAATATATGAGAATGTAATATGAATCTGTAATTTTAAAAATTGCAAAAAGATTCTTGTATGCTGTTCTAAAATATTTTGTTAGTCTTAACGGAAGAAATTATTAATTAATACCACAGAACAGAAGGGGAAAAAAAGGAGTGAAGACCAGTGGGTCTCTTCCATGATCCCAAATTCCTTGCAAAGCGACCATTTTAAGGATCAATTCAGAAGTGTTTTGTGGAACAGAGGGAATTCTAACACAGTTACCAGTTTTATGTTTTATGTTTACAGTACATGCACAAAGGCTGTAGCCTGTAGCCTACTACTCTGGTCAGCAAAATTTAAAACCTCCCTCCTGGCCTTCTGCTAGAGGAAGAGCTGCTTAAATTGAAAGAAGGGTCCAAACTTTGCAAAATGGAGTGGCGGGGAAAGGCTGTAGCTACTTCATGAGGCATATGGATGGCTGGCTGTTTAAACAGCTAGACTAGATGAACCCTTGGCCTGATGTAACATGGCAATTCTTACGCTAATGCAAGCATTTACAGTTCTAAAAGTAGATGCTTGAATCCTATGAAGAGGGCCCATGCCCACTAGTCTCTGCTATGGAGCACACTAGGATTTCTGTTGGCTCAAGGGCTCGTGGAAAATAACGGATCTTGCACCAATGGAAGTGCCAGTGTGCTCTATAGCAGAGACTGACAGGCACAGAACTTGTTCAGAGGATCCAAACCAGACTTTCTATGGCATATTTTGCTGAATGCTTTCAATATCTATATAAGTAGTAGGACAAAGTTTGAGTCCAGTGGCACCTTTAAGACCAACAAAGTTTAATTCTGAGTATAAGCTTTTGTGTGCACGCACATACCTAAAGACACGAATGCTTATACCCAGAATTAAACTTTGTTGGTCTTGAAGGTGCTGCTGGACTCAAACTTTGTTCTACTGCTTCAGACCAACATGGCTACCACCCTGAATCTGTATAAGAACTATGGCAACACGAGTACTTTCGATCGTTATACAAATAAAAACGCATGTCATCTTGGACATATACAATTTCATTTTACTTTTAAACCATGCTGTCCTGGGATTCATCTTTCACTCGTCTTTGTTTTTTGGTATGCCTTGACCTTTCCATGTTTGCAGTTTCCACTAAAACAATAAATCGGTACCATACCATCTGTGTACTCCCCTGTCAAGTGAGCTCAGAATGTTCCCAAAAAGTAAACCAGACAGGCAGATTCTGTTTTAGTCAGGTTTAGCTTCTGCAAATATGTTAATACAGACAGCATGTCTATGTTGATAATGCAAACTCAGAATAACCGAAAAAGGCTTCAGTAACAGGGAAAAGGGCAAGCAGAGGGATAGTATGGAGTCCCCCGCTCCAACCAAGACCCTCACACTATCCTATTTGTCATGACATACTATGACTATTCTGGTGCCTTCTCTTGTGCACTGCTGCAGTACACAGATCAGCTGCAAAAACTGGTCATTTAGACCACATGCAAACTGGTTTGTGAGTACAGCACACAACGAATCATTCTCAAATATGTACAGATATAACAGTGCTGATCCCTCCCATCCCCTCCTACCTACCTTGGTATCCAACAAGTCGGTCCATTTTGTTGTTTCCCAGAAAGTTTCCATCAGAGCATCCGAACAACTCTCCTGGGTGTCGTCTTTACTTTCTGTATCGCTCGATACAGCCCCTTCTTGGGCCTGCAACTGCAGGAGCTGGTCAGCCAATGCGCTTCCTTTCCGACAGAGAGCATCTACCAGTGTAGATTTCTGCTTGTCCATCTCACTTAGTGGAAAACATAGAAAAGAACCATTGCATTCATACCGCAACAAACTTATCTGTTGACAGCAGACTTAAAGTTCATGAACGAGGAACTCACATTGCAAATGCTACCCTGTGAGCATATACACCATTTTCTTCCATTACTCCCAAACATTTGAGAAAAAAAATGACAGGTATATTAGATATCTCTTCCCCCCCCCCCCCCCCCCGGCAACAAATCCCAGTCAGCTGACACGGATATTGAAAAAATAACCTTTTTCTCTCTACTGGAAGAAACCAAAATACACAGCAGAGTTAGAAGAAGAAGCAGAGATTGGATTTATACCCTGCCCTTCACTACCCAAAGGAGTCTCAAGAGCGGCTTACAATCCGTTTCCCTTCTCCACCCCAAAACAGATACCCCGTGAGGTAGGGTGGGTGGGTGGAGAGAGCTCTCTCAAGAACTGCCCTTGAAAGAACAGCTCTGAAAGAACTTGTGAATGACTCAAGGTCACACCAGCAGCTGCATGTGGAGGAGCGGGGAATCAAACCCAGTTCTCCCAGATTAGAGGCCGCACTCCTAATCACTAGAGTGAGCAGCAACTGAAACTACTACTTCCAAAGGAAGAGGATTCACTTTTCACCATCTTAGAATAGGCTTTTCTTCTACTGTCAAACTTAAGATGGAACGATAAGCAATAGCTCCATCAAGAATTCAGAATAAGAAATGTGCACACCCACCACCCTTTTTAATGGCTCCCCTGCCAAACCCACCCCCCAAACATGCTGGAACTAGCTCCATCAAGAATTCAGAATAAGAAATTGCACACTCACCACCCTTTTTAATGGTTCCCCTGCCAAACCCACCCACCAAACATGCTGGATCAGGTACCTAACAGATAAAGAAGGCTGTAGGACTTCAGTGATAAACTATGGAATCTGAAAACACACATTCGAAATCCAGGAAGTTCAGAATCATCACTCTGGGCTTACTCTGAAGTGCTTTCTCCTCTGAATTTAACTTATTAGTGATGAGTGTGGATAGCCGGCCAAAGAGAATCTTGGATTTACCTTCCGCACTCTAAATTTCACTGTAACACAGGCATGGGAGTATTGCTAGCCTGCAGAAACTGGATGGAGAATAGGGATGTGCACCTAAACCTCCCCACCCCGGTGTTTTTCCAATCTAGATTTTGAGAGAGGCCTAAATACCATTATTCAGGTCTCTGACACTGTTTCAGGATATTTGTTTTTGGCAGGGGGTGTTTCCCAGAATGATCTGGGTTCTATTATTCCCTATGGGGGACTTTTTCAGGGAAGGGGGGGCTACAGTAGCTGTTTTTCAATCACATGACACCAAAGCTGCAGGACACCTTGTTGTGCCTGCCTACTAAAAAACCACTCCCAAAGTTTCAAGCAAATTGTACCAAGGAGTCCAGTTCCATGGACCCCTGAACAAGGTGCCCCCAGACATCCCTATGTGCCTCCACTGTTTCCAGCAGGGAAAAAATTTCAAAGAAGCCCACAGCCAAACACACACACGAGGGCAACTACCGCCCCAAAGCCTCCAAATGCAAAGAGAACTTACAAGTCCAACAAAACCAACATCAAACCAGAGAACACCAACAGAGCCCAGGGCCAATGGAGCCCAAGCCCAACATAACCAACAGCCCCTCATGACTGGCGCTTCTGCTCCCTCCCACTCCTGTAAAGAAGAAACAGCAATACGGCATGCAAGGGCTTCGTTTAAGGTGCTTTTGTCAGATCTGCTGGTGCTTCTTTTAAATTGACATACTTGTTAGGAAAGTAGACACCTCTCTCTTCTTCCAATGACATCTGTAGGGCCTTTCCCCCATTTATGAGAGTGGCAATTACTACATTTCTGTCCCCACATTTATTTTCTGCATGGAAGTTCTCCTCGTAACATTGGATTTCGTTGCCTGAGAGAGCTGCCTCCCTTCTCCCCTCCTGGTTTCTGGGAAATTTGTAAAATTGAAGAAGAAGGGGGGAAAAAGCCCTGGAAGCCTTAACATGCCAGCCCTGAATACTTTCAGATAGTCCTGAATATTTCTGGAATTTTTCTGGAACTAACACCCAGTCTTTCCTGACAACACAAATAACACCCAGATACCTGAATATACCCCCCAAATACTGATAAGGTTCTTTTCAGGTATCTATTCAGACTGGAAATATCCAAATGGAGAACACTGAAAGCTAGGGGGAGCAGCACTGCTCAAAAGATCATTTTCAGCCTTAGAACAGTTGCTCTGACAGCCAACAATGGGCCCTTTGGAGAGACTTCTCACCTACATGGAGAGTCCATGTGGTCCAGCAACTGACAAAGCAACCCCACTCTTTCTAAGGACTTCCTTGCTTCAGAGGCATTTTCCCCATTGACTGTCTCCACGGAGACTGTTCTGAGAGTGAGCCACAGTTGGAAGCAGCATTGTGGGCCATCTAGTCCAAACCCCAGAGAGAGAGAGCCAGTTTGGTGTAGTGGTAGTGTGCGGACTCTAATCTGGGAGAAGCAGGTTTGATTCCCCACTCCTCCACTTGCACCTGGCTGGATGACCTTGGGCAAGCCATAGTTCTGATAAGAGCTGTTCTTGAAAAAGAGCAGTTTCTGTCAGAGCTCTCTCAGCCCCACCTACCTCACAGGGTGTCTGTTGTGGGGAGGGGAAGGGAAAGGCATTTGTAAGCCGCTCTGAGACACCTTTGGGTAGTGAAGGGCGGGGTATAAATCCAATCCTTCTTCTTCACAAGGAAAGCCAGAGTATTCTCAATGGATAGTTGTCGCTATCTTTCCCAGTGAGGCAGACTCGCCCTCCCCACTGGTTCCTTGTTCAACTGCTTCTTACATTAGAAATTTCCTCCAAACATTCAATCAGAATCTACTCTGCTGTAACTTAAGCCCATTAGATCTGATTCTACCCTCTGGGGAAGCAGAGGGCAAGTATTTGACCTTGTCAACGAGGACTTGGTACCCTCTGGGGAAGCAGAGGGCAAGTATTTGCAGGGTGGCAGGGTGGTGAGAGCAAAAGGAGGAAATGCCTGTGCATCCATATGCCGTGCTCCTGCTTACAGAATACAGAATACTGTTATCTGATGATTGACAAAGTATTTTGGGGAACTGTTGACTGAAACATCAGTACCTTTTCATGCTAGGGATTCTTTCGCACTGTAATGGCAAACAACATTCCCAATTAAATATTTCTGTTCTCATCTCACTGCTCCACTGATTATTCCCAATATTTCAATTTCAGCAAGCATGAAAAACAACCCATCCAAAACATCTTGCAAATCTCAACTCTGAAATCTGCCTAACATCATCAGTCATGTGAGTACATCCCAGCCTCCAGCCATTTCAGGCTGCAACTAACAGCAGCAGCTTTGAGCCAAACCATAATTCATCACTGGGTATAATCCACACAAAATTAAATGTGTTTAAGCCCATTGTTATGAATGGCTTTGACAGCAAAATTGCTTTTAAAAATCCAGAGGCACAAGAGTAGAGAGTCGAAGCAGATTGCAGAAATAAGATGCGAGAAAAGAAGTATTTACTGGTTAGGTACTTTTTTATAGTAGCAGCATCAGGCCGAGGATCAGTCTTCATAGCAAGATAAATTGCGAGCGCTGTTTGATCAATATGCGAGATAACTGTATTGGCAGCCTCAATAATTTCAGGCAGTCTTTTCATTCGTTCCTAGTTGGAACAGGAAGGTTATCATGAGTCTCATCACACACATGTAGTAGTAATAATAATAATATAATAATAATAATAGGAGGAGGTGGTGGTGGTAGTAGTAGTAGTGTGGCATTGTATGTAGTATAGCCAGGAGATCCAGAGATTGCCTGGGCAGCCATAAATTCCAGCTCATTAGCATCATGCACCACTAGGTGGCAAGCTAGACTTATTTGGGGGGCTGAGATAGCTCTGAAAGAGCTATGATTGACCCAAGGTCACCAAGCGGGCTTCATGTGGAGGAGTGTGGAATCGAACCCAGTTCTCCAGATTAGAGTCCAGCACTCTTAACCACTACACCACATATTGGCTCTCCACACACACACACGTAAAGGTACATTACAGAAGGCATATAATATGTTAAACTTAACATACATAAAACAGCTGCCACGAGCAGGTTCTCGGGGGAGATGGCATATCAGTTTTCTAAACGTAAAGCAGTTCAATGCTTGCCTTTGGCAGCAACCAAATCATGTTACTACTTCTGTTCTACAAGTGCAAATTCTTTAGCTGCAGTCAGTTGAGATTTGAAGCTAAGGGGAGGAACAGTAAGCTAGGAGAAACACAGACATCTCACAACTTGAACACCGATACTGGAAATGGAAAAATCCCCTTAACAAAGCCAGTTTTCAGAGGGTAGCCATCTTGGTCTGCAACAGAAGAGCTAGATTTGACCCCAATAGCACCTTAGAGACCAAAAAGATTTTCAGGGTATGGGTTTTCAAGAGTTAACGCTCCCTGATTAAGGTTTCTGACAAAAGCAGCTTTGAGTCTCAGGAGCTTATACTCTGGAAAATCTTGTTGGCCCCTAAGGTGCTATTGGGGTCAAATGTTGCTTTTAAGGAAGTTGTGAGTGAGGCCGCTACCAAATGACTTGCCAGAAGACGTACTCTACAAGCCATGGTGTTGCTGGTACCATGCACAGTTTTTGACCTTTTGCCAAAAATTGCACCAATCAATTATGACTTTTGAGAGAATGCAGCCGGCTTGGTTCATATCTAACTAGTATGTCGCCTTGTGGTTTTGACTATCTTTAAATCTTGATAAACTCAATACGCAAAGCCTGATATCGAGCAAGCAAACAATCAAGTTATTTTCCTTTCAGGGTCGTAAGGGAAGAAATAAAATTGTACCAAACTGCCAAGAGCACGAAGTTCAAGGCAATAAGGCTGAAGAATATGAAAGGCGTCACCTTCTAAGCCCAATCGTTTGGCTGCCTTAACTCTACAAAGTCCACTTAAAAAATGAGAGCTCACCTTTTCAGAATCCAATTGATGAAGTCTTGCGACATACAGAGGAAGATGATTAGGAAAGGCCTCTTTCAATTCATTATATATGTCACTGGTATCGAGCCTAGAGAAGAAGAATGGCGGTAAAAATGCTGACTGAGCAACTCTAGGGTGGGAGAGCATGGGACATAAATTGTGCTAATATAGCTGTTTATTCCGTGAAGGATGCAAACTGACCCCAGAGGAATTACAGAAACGTACTTAGTCATCCACTGAATCTTCAGGTCCCTTAAAGCTTCAGCAAATTCGTCCTTTGCGTCTTTTTCTTTTTCTGGCTCCTTCTCCTTTTCCTTGCTGCCGTTCTTATTTTTTATCGGTGACGGGATCAGATGATAATGAACTGAAACGATGTCCTAGAAGGGGAAAAAAGGACAGCAACTTGGTCAGTGCTAACAGGAGCATTCTGTCATACTGCAAACATCCTAAAAGTAGTAAAAGAGAGCTATGTAGCAGCTCGCACTACCTGCAGGAGGAAAAGATTAGTTTTTGCTGGCAAAGAACAGTCCAGCTGAAAAGGTGTATTCGTCTAGGGATTTAAAATTGTGATCAAGGAATTTCAATATGTAGACTACGGGTGAATTGTCAGACACTTCAAAAAGGCCAGAGCTAGTTTAAAATATGATCTTTTATACTGGATTTGAGGATCAGGCTCCCCTCCCAGTATCTATCATTAAATTGTAGCACCAGTACAGTAGCATTTTATTTAGATAACTGGATAGGAAGGGGAGTTAGCAGTCCATATTAAAATCCCATCTTTACTGGGGGTCAGCAGTATAACATATGCTATTTGCTTCTGACCCCCGAAGAATTCTGTCCCTAACTTGTGTCACTTTGCACTCCATAGTCTTCTACAATTGGAAGAATTGTTCTGTGTGTCCTAGCTCAAAGATAACTGTTTTTAAAAGTGAGCATTAAAAGCAGGTCTGACTGACTGCGAAAGGAATGGGGCAAATGAAAGCCTGCACATGTGAACCACGTGGATTCTGCAAAAATGGTACATGAGAATATTCACAGCACTTCAGTTACTTGCGTACTTTAGACAGCAAGTGTTAATTATTCATTTGTTTTTATGTATACGTCCAGCCTATCTGAAGCTAAAGGGAGAAATCCATGAGAAAATCAGTGGTACCCTTGTGCCGTAAACAGTAACCTTAATTTTTTTGTATGTTATATTGGATTAACTGCCAAATAGGTGTGTGTTTTTAAAAACAAACTTTCCTTCCCAGTATTCATTAGTACCTTTTACAGGTTTAGAAAGGATAAAAAATAAGCTATAGTTATACAAATTTCTAAACATTTGGTGAGCTGGAACACTGCTACAAAGCTGACCGGCTTGCTTTTATCGTAGCCTATCTTCTCCTTAATGGAACTATGCTCGTACAGGCACAGATTGGAAGCTTTTCTATAGCAAAGTCCACAAATTGTCTAGGAAATTAGATTTTCCACCTTGCTCCAGCTACGCACAATAACTTTAGTGAGTCAAAGCCGAAGTGAACCAGACCTAACCTTCAGAAAAATACCCTTCCTTAAATTATTTGCACCTTTGCTCCAGGAGGCAAGAAACAATGTCACGACAATGTCTTCCTATTCAATGAGAACAGCAGCCCGCTCAGATGTAGTGCTGATAAAAAGAGACTCATTGACTCTAAACAGCTTCAAATGTGTGCTAATGTTGTTTTAAAGGTTGTTGTCCCCACCCCCTCACCCCCAGTATATCTTTTTTTCTATTAACCAGACAGGGCCAGGTAGGACCATCCCATTATGTGGGGGGCGGGCTCTGCATGGATCTACTACTGTGGCTTAGGGCTGAAAGTAGCCCCAGGCTGCTCAGTCACCTGGATCGTATGCCCCACAGAGACTCCAGAGTGCGGGCGAACAGCAGCTACTTAGTGGAAGTGCCTGCCTTAACGATGACTCTTATGATTCTCTTTTCTCAACTTAGTGCTACTGGCTGGTAAAAATCACTGCCACGTGGCTAAGGTCAACTTTGTGAGCTACTGGCATAAAAGTTGTGGGTGAGCAATTTGGCTACTGCATAAATTAGTTTGGTCTGGAGCCATCCTTCCTGAGCTAAGACAAAAACATGTGAGCCGGAGGGTAAAAAACTGTGAGCTAGCTCACACTAACTCAGCTTAGAGGGAACACTGCTTACATTTAGTTTAGTTCTCTTTCATAATGAACCCTGTGCCCCTCAACTGATGATTAAACAAAAAGCACATGAAAGCTTGCTCTTCACTCCACAATTAACCTAAATTTCTCCACATCACTGTCTGCAGAAATCTGGTCCCAAGAATCCACTCGGAGAACACTGCAAGGTCATTCTGAATTAAATAAATGATGGGACAAGAGGGGAACACAAACCTCAACCTCCACACATGAGCACCCAGTATCGTACTACATCTGAGAACGGCACTTTTAACCTTAGTAAAAAATGAAGCATGTAAAACTGCTGCAGTTATGCTCATCTAATGGCTACCGACAGCCACTGTGAAGGAGAGGACAGCCAGGCCCTGCCAAGTCCCACAACAGAACACATGACTGACTACAGTGCATATAGTAAGCAGACACATTTGCACTACTGCATTAGTGGGCCTAATGAACAGATAAGGTATTTTCCTGCAAGTGAACAGATAAGGTATTTTCCAGCAAGACCATACCAAGTTTTTACAAAAAACAGAATAACTGGTTTGGAAGATACCTTCATCTTCCTAATAGATTTGCAGACTGTGCAACACATCCTTTGCAAATCCTGGCTCACTCTCTTTCGCTCTGCACAAGGAATGTGTATCTGTCTTTGTGAATGCGGACTATGACCCCTTTATACTATTAGTGCTAATGAACTGCATGAAAGGATCAATATGAACATCATGACTGCAGGTTGAACAGATTTGCTGCCTGCTAGCCTAGATAGAAGATCAGACTCAATTTCTCCCATCCTAACACTTTTGGGCTTTACCTTCTTCTTGGTAAAGAATAACACAACTGCTACCACCATATACCACAATCCAGTGGATGGAAATTGTTTTTCGTCACACTTTCTAATGTAGCATTTTCTGAGACAACGCTAAACTCATCTACTAAAAGAATTCCATTAGTATAAAGTAAGCCAACAGATAAATCCTTTTTAAAGGCAATGACTACAAATTATTTGCAAGATGCTGTACAAAACTGTCTTCTTGGTGGTCACACAAAACCCTTATCAGCTTTGCTTCTGAACCCAGTCATTAAGTGAATGACTTAAGTGAATGACTTCATTTTGTGAGGAGCCAGAGTAAACAGGCGTGAAAAATGCTTAGCATATATTCTCTTGGTGCCAACGCAGTTTGCTCAGCATTTCTAGTTTTCCACAGAACTGCTGGGATGATGACCTATGAAAATGGAGTGTTCCCCTATAAAGACACTTCCACTGCATGTAGGCACTGTGCAACCACAAAGAGGCAGGGCCAACAAGCTTGTGCCCACCCTCCCTCTCTGCAGGCTCAGCCAACACACAAGAGAGACGGTGGGCTCAGGGCATGTGATAATCTGCTTAACCAAACACACTGTACTTATTCTAATAAAGAGGAGACATTCAGGAGTAAAACACTGTTCGAGTTGTATTTAAAGACATCTGAGGATGTAGAAATAATTCTGTATAATAACTTCCAAGTCATATGAGGGGGGAAAAAGACTTTAAGTACATCTTGCAAAAACTGACATTCAGTACCTTTTTAAACTTTCCTTGTCGCTTTGCTGCGGACTGCCCCTGGGAGTTAGAATAACACACTGCTGAGTTCATTGATAAAACAAGCTGAATTCATTGATTTCATAGATTTTCCTGGGCCACTACATACATACATACATACATACACACACACACACACACACAAACACAGAGAGACTTCTTCATAACCTGTCATATAGCATGCAAAAATGGGAGGAGCGATCCAAGAACCAAGTTCTGATCTCAGAACATGCGGCTTCTGAGGAGCAGACAGAACTTATACTGGTGATTCGCCTCCCACTGGAAATGGAAGGACTCTGCAAGATCGCTAGCTCAGCTCTGTCTGTGGAGCGAGAGGGGGCTACTTCATAACAGATACCCTCTTCTGTTGATGGGAAATGGTGCTCTCCCATCTCTCCTTTTCTGCTGCAGCACCCTGTCCCTCTAGCTGCTCCTAAAGGCCAGTGGGTGTTTGGAAACAAGCCGGACATTGCATGGCTCCAGCTAAAGGTGGGCATTCCTCAACAAATCGCCCTCCTCCAAGCAGAAGTGCCTTCTTCTTGCACAAGTAGCAGTTTAGATTCAGCCACTAGCATGGTATTGGTGGAATCCTTCGCTTTGCCTTTCGCAAGCAAAAAATTCACACAGAGATGGGGCAAGCCACACACTGCTTGAGTTTAAGTAAATTCACCAAGTTAAATCCCCTTTTAAGTGTACACGTTGTCCTAAAGGCAAGTTTGAGATCTATCTGTGTTCTCACTCAGTGGGATTAGTTCACGCTTTTAAGCAAGTTAGTTTGTTGAAGCTGGCTTTACTAGCATCTTTCTAGAAATATATTAGAGCTCTGACCCATTTTAGCTAGTCAATACAAGAACAGGGACCACAGTGGATTCAAAATCAACAATAAAAAAACAAACACTGTACCAAAATAATTCAATAGATAACACTAATTATCATCAAAATATATTCCTATACAATTACACGTATCAACAATTCAAGTCCAAAATAATGTTTTTGGTAAACAATAATTTAAACAATGTCTTTATACAGTGTACTTTAATCATGCATTCGTTCTTTCCTCACATAAGTATCCACGTGATAGCAAAAATCCAACTCGACAGTGGATTTAATCGAGTTGGACTTTTGATACTACGTGGATACTTGTGTGAGGAAAGAATGACTGCATGATTCAAGTAACACTGTATAAATACTTTATTTAGATTACTGTTTACCAAAATCGGTATTCTTTTGTACTTGAATTGTTGGCAGTTCCTTCTATAATTATACAGAAATATATTTTGATAATTATTGTTATTTACTGAATTATTTTGGCACAGTGTGTTTGTTTTTTATTGTCCACTTTACCTAGCGGCTCCATTGCACCGAAGTGGGAAGTACGCAACCAACACTGGCAAAGAGGACATCTGAGGCCCAGGAGCCAATAAAGAGCTCTGGACCATTTTGCTGCTATACCCACTACCAGTTGTGGTCATTCCTTTCCACTTCCATCCATGCAGGCTGAAATTCCTAAAATAGTGATAGCAATGGAAAGCAGTATTGTACTCCATGGAAAGAGACACTGGAGGAAGCTGACATTATTTCCTTCTCCATCTTGTCCCCCTGGTCATTATTTTTGTTCTGTGTGGCTACGTGGACGGCTAGCAGAATTGGCAAGTGGTTCATTGCTTTCTAAAGGATATTTCGATACTTTCCCCACTGCACGGACAATGGGGTTGGACCTTTTGCACCTCAAATGCAATGTCCAGTATGAATTTGATGGAATTTCTGGATAGCTTATAGATTTTTGATGTTATCGTTAGGCTCCGGAGTTTCTGAAACATATTTAAACAAATCTCTGTGGCAATCCAACTACAATTCCTACAACCCTACTGTAATACATGCAGCATTTGGATGACCTAAGCAACCATTTAGCATGAAGGAATTCATAAGGACTTTAAAACGACCAGCTTGCCCTTGCTTGGCATTAACAGGTAACTGAACAGCTGAGGAAATCCCTTCAAAAATGTAGAAGTAAGTGAAGGAATGAGGAACTACTTTGCCTTTTACAACCATGGATCTCGGTGAGATCCAGAAAGCACATTTCCTCCATTTACTTAAATTGATTTTTAACAAAATTGGGGGGGGGGGGGAACACCTACATTTTTTCAATGACACTGTTTAATAATCTTTTTACAACCATGGATCTCGGCGAGATCCAGAAAGCACATTTCCTGCATTTACTTAAATTGATTTGGGGGGGGGGAGGAGAAACACCCACATTTTTTCAATGACACTGTTTAATAATTCACATTTTTAATTATGAAAATTCAGAACAAAATACATCTAGGGATGTCAGATCGACTTATAGAGCCTCTATTTAATATACAGTAGAGGAGACCTTATGCTGGTACAGCATCAAATGAGGACATATCAGAGATCCAACTACTGATATCTAGAGAAGGCGAGAATACACTTTGAGCTCTAAGCATCTTTTATTGTTTTAATGGAAGCTGCCTGCCTACACATCAAGGTCAGCGCTGACAGCTCAGACTGGCAGGAGCTCTCCAGAATCTTAGGTGAAGGTCTTTTACACCACCTGCTACCTGATCCTTGTAAATGGAGATGCTAGGAATTGAACCTGGGATCTTCTGCATGCCAGGCAGATGCTCTATCGCTAAGCCATGTGTGACCCACAAAATATTCTTTAAGCAGAACATAAAAGAACACATGACACAGGGACAAGAAACAGCTGTATAATAGTCATGTCAGTGCAGAAGCAGTTACTTTAATGCAACAGAAAGTGTCTGGATGGTCTAGAAAAAGCAAAAATGCAAGTTCAAAATGAATTTGAAGGCTAAAATACCTAAAAAAAACCCCACACATGGATGTCTGGCATTTGTCCCTAGACTATCCTTATAAAAGTCTAGAAAAAAATCCTCCTAAAATCCGGATTAACAGGTGATAATAGTTTCACAAAAGACCTTTAGAGAGGCATTTTCATTCAGAAAAAACACATTATCGACTTTCATGTTGTTTTACTCACCGCTTTCTTTCCAAGCTCTGTCTTTGAAAGTGTCAACGACCCTGCTAGGTAACATCCTGGGCCTGCTCCTTTAGGTATTCTAGGGATCAAGAAAGCATGGAACAATGAGGAGGTTACGTGCTACCAAGGTTGAACGCCAAATACCTCCTCTAGTATATTAAAATGCTGACATATTATTTAGTACATTAAACAAACCCAAATAAACTGGCGCGTTCTTCAATTCAAGCATTTCACATTATAGTTCTATATCTCCAAAATAAAACAAAACAAAACAAAAATCACAAACACACGTTTAAGAATCTCTCTTTAAACGTGTCAGTGCTCCTGCAAGTTATCTTAAAGAGAACTGAGAAAATCTAAGACAGCTGACAGGGCTAAGCAATTGCCTCATCCCTTTTCCTAAGTGGCCAAAAGCTTGGCTTTTGCCGAAGGCATGTGAACAGCCTGTGGTCCTGCTAGAGCCATATTGGCTCATCATCTACTTTATGTTTGGACTGAGGGCTTGCTGGGTAGCATAGTTTTGTTTACATGCATACTGTATTTCCATTTTACTTAGCAAACCACTTTAAATTCCCAGTGTGGGAGAAGAGCTGGATATGAATAAATAACCAGGAGTGAAACAGCCACCCCACCCCCCAAACACATTAGCTCCTTTTCCTAAGTTCAAGTCTAAGTTACCTTGCTCTTACCCAGCAGTGATGGCTGCTTTCCTTTGACTAACATCTTCACTGGGGGAGGCAACAGTCATTTTTTGACTGATAGCAGCTCATCATTGTGAAATATGAAAACCGATGGTCTGAATTTTTATTTCCTGATCTTTGAAGGTTTGGAACAGCTTACAACATTTTAACAGTGTTACGCACCGCAGACTAGAAATATTCAGAACGTGAAGTACTCACTTGTCATCTAGCAAAGATGTAACAAAGAAAGGCTGGTTGTGCTTTGGAGGCAGGCACAGACTATTTGTTTTCTTTTTCCCTAAGAGAGCCTGGCTGTGGTTTTCGCAAATATCTAAACTCAGGGCACTAGACAGTCTGTGGGAGATAATAAATGGAAGGTCTTTGATACGATCCAGTTCACTGCTCTGCTCATGACGGATCTGTAGCCGAACAGTATAGTCTCCCTTCTCCAGCTTCATAGAATACTAAGGAAAGAAAATCTTCATTACTGCAAAGAACCAATATGAACAATGATCTTCAGTTTCTACAAAGTCAGTAGAATTTTCCAGTTAGAGGTGTGAAACTGGATGTTGCCAACCTGATACAATGCCCAATATTTCCACTACCAGACTGGCAATATATAATAATTCAAAAAGCACTCCTGGATATTCCCAGGGGTTTTTTTTGGGGGGGGGGCAGGCTGGTCCAAAGTGTGTCTTCCCCTTTAAACTTTAAAATCCATTAAAGCAAACATGGTCTCCAGAGGGAGGTATACCACCCTCCAGTACAGTGGTCCTCTAAAAGATGTTTAAGGGCCAATGCACTGCAGAGCAGCTGGAGCACGCTCCCTCCTCCCTCGCCCCTCCTGCTGCCTTGAATCTCAAATATCCCAAGTTCTGAATGGTCCCTAAGACCTGTAGATCACCCCCTGTGCAGGTGCAAATAAGACCAGTCACTAAAGTTTGAAGACCCACGATGACAATTAATATCTGCAAAGGCACCTTGCAAAACAGGATATCACCTTTTGGTTTAATCAAGTAGGTATTCTTTTGTGAACTCAGTTAACTCTTGTCCTGTCATCCCATCCATTCTCTCACCTCATTAGTCCAGGTTGATACTATGCTTTCTGGGTAATGGCAATGCTTCTGGGATGCCTTCACAATTTTCAATTACAGCCATGGGCACTATCATGAAAACCAGGTGTCCCCGGCTCCCTCCCTCCTTAGATAATGGGAAGGGGGGGGGCGATGACAAAGGAATAATAGATGCCTCCAATAGGATGGCTGTTTTCCCGAGCAACACGTTAGCTCCTCTCGTGGCACAACAGTAAGCCTAAGCATACAGCTTGGGCATCTCTGTACCAGGATATTTTGTTTAGCTTTACGGATTCTCCCATACTATTCTGACCCCAGGAAATACTGAAACAGTGCTGAACAATTTATTGAGGTTAGTTGGAAGCTCTAGCATAGTTTTGACTTAGCCCACATTATCAGGATCGCAATGATGTTCACCAGGTCAAGGGAAGAAAAAACCATGACGAGAGGTTTGGTTTACCGTATCTGCACTGGGAAAGCCTGTCCTGCCCTGTAGGTGATGGGACAGATTTTACCTTTTGTTCTTCTTAAAAGAGAGAACCAACTGTCAGAGCGTGCAGTTTTATTTATCCCTGTGCCACATTTTGAAAATGATCACTCACACATACTCTTATGAAACAGGACATGGGAATTAATGGAGCACTGAGATGGTCGTACAGGCAGATTCTATCAAGCTGACTCAGAAATAAGACTGACTACATTCAGTGATGTTTATTTTCCCCAAAAGGTATGCACAAGTTCTCAGCTTTAGAGAAACTACAAAACTTGGTGGAGGAAATAGTATTTTATGGGCTACAGAATCCATCTACAGTAGTAAACATCTTTGTATACCTGGTGTGGATAGGCATCTCCTGACCCCATGTGCCTTTTATTTTGGTCAAAGATCATCCATAGCTGGCTGTCAAATTCTGATTCATACAAGAGTTCACAAAGCAAGGGACAGCTTGGAGTAACTTCCCCACTCTTTGGCTGGGGGGGAAAAACAACAACCAGAGTGCATTTCAGGTAAGCAGTAGTATTATTGGGGGGGGGGGATTATAATTAACACACACTGGCATTTTAAGTATTATTCCTTTAGATAAACAAAATGTGCTACAGCCTTATCTAGGTTTGAGAACATCATTTGTATGGGAGGATTCTGGTGACAAAAATACAAACTTACTTGATGAAAGTTGTATGTCAAAATCATCTCATATAATTGTCGATTATTTGGCAGAACATCTCGGGGTCCTAATGGTTTTATTTTTGCACTCAGTGGTCTGTAATTCAGCAACACAGTGCTAAGCATTAGGGCTAGTTCAAGATGTAAACATTAAATACGAAGGAATCAGAAATGTCACAACATCAAGGTGTGTACATGTGTGAAGTCACTGCGGTATACGTTAAATCAGAAAGCTGCTGAGGTAGCCCTCCATGTCCAACAAGTTGCTAGCCTTTGGCTTAACAGAGAATGTCCACTGTGAAGCGTTTAATCTAGCCATTGGCACAAGTTCAGAATGTCCTCGATACCAAACTGCATGGGAAACACTGTACAAATGCACAAGTGAAGGGACCTAGTATAAGGAACAGAATTTTTACTGCATTCATAGACAGGGCGCTTGTGTACATGTGCAATATTTATCCTTCCACTTTAAAAGACAAATAATTTTGATATGCCTTTCTCTGCTAAGAAAACATTAGTCTTAAATTTACACCAGTAAAGCATCCTAGCATTAGTCTTTTAAATTACACCAATAAAGAAGACTCCTAAGATTACTTGCACTTAACAATTCCCAAGGTCCATTTCCCTCAGCAGAACAGCAGGGAGATTTTTTACCAATTTCCCCCTTTAATTGCATAGGCAGAATTAGATAGCCATGCTGTTCCATAAGGTCTCCTGTCCCATCCAGAGGAACACTTCAGGGACATCAGTAGGCTTCAGTAAAGGGTGGCAGGCAAGGAAGTTCCACTTTGCTGACACAAGTGTCTTCTGATAGTGGAAACTGAACTTTGGATCCCACCCCATGTCTTGTGTTTCTACTATTGCCCAGATTTTTTACCAATTTCCCCCTTTAATTGCATAGGCAGAATTAGATAGCCATGCTGTTCCATAAGGTCTCCTGTCCCATCCAGAGGAACACTTCAGGGACATCAGTAGGCTTCAGTGAAGGGTGGCAGGCAAGGAAGTTCCACTCTGCTGACACAAGTGTCTTCTGACAGTGGAAACTGAACTTTGGATCCCGCCCCATGTCTTGTGTTTCTACTATTGCCCACTTTAAGATGGAGACAGCATGCACATGGAGCTCAACAGCACACCCTTTGTCAGAAATCTTTTTAAAAATCCAACTTGCTAATTTACTGTCCCCCCCCCCCAAACACACAAGGACTTGTTTTCTAAGGACTAAACGGATACTTTACAAAAAAAAAAATCTAACACTGTACCTTAGGTTTGAACCCAACTTTTGAGACTTATGCTAGGAGCAATGTCTTCATACTTCAATGCTGACTGAATATCGAAGCGGACTATGCCTTCTGAAGCATGCTAAAAGAGAAAAGTATTCATGGTTTGTTTTCCATTCAACAGAATTGTGAATTTTAGGTGATGTATATGTGATAATCTAGATGAAAGACATTTCCATTGAATAATGGATAGAAAGCCATAGCTGTTGGGTAAAGCTACAAATAACTAAGTCATTTTAAAATTACATATATATTTCATATTTCTAGGGGCATACAAGCAAACACCCAAATACCCAATTACCAGACAAACATGTATAAGTACTTCATCTGCTCATTCTGAAATCAGCTTTTATCTTTACAAGGAAGTCACTGCCAGCAGAAAGGAGGGAGGGAAGATCCACGAACCTCACGAACCAAACTGGTTCAAGAAGCGGAAAAGGCTTGTGCTGGTCCATGGTACCTCATGAACCGGGACGAATCTCCTTTTTCCCGGTTCATACCCATCCCTACTTCTGACTCTGTCTAAGGCAGCTTCATGTGTTTATGCAGTACAAGTTAGGCCATAACCACACAGACATGAAAGAGTTTACACCCTGCCTTCTGATAGCCCAAAGAGGTTTCAGGAGACACGGTGTAAAGATTCAAATTACCAGAATTCATACTGGAAGAAAAGTGTTATTAAAAGCTGCTTAATCGGTACAACCGTGAAAGCTGGTTTGGATCCTTTCAAACCTGGTTTTAGGCCTGGTTATGGGATTATTACAGCCTTGATCACCCTGGTAGATGACCTGGGCTGTGAGATGGACAAGGAAGTGTGACACGGTTGATTCTCCTGGAAGTCTCAGCAGCTTTTGAAGCCATCCAACATGGTATCATTCTGGATGTACTTCCTTGCCCTAACTAGAGCGTAGGTATCAGAAGGTGGTGCTGGGGGAGTACTGCTTAGCCACTCGGCTTTGGGGTACTGCAAAGTTCCATTCTGTCCCTTACACACTTCAACATGGGGAAAGGTCATGGATCATGGTAGAGCACCTGCTTCACATGCAGAAGGTCTCAGGTTCGATTCCTGGCATCTCCAGTTACTAGGATCGGGGAACAGACCTGGAGAGCTGCTGCCTGCCTGAGTAGACAATACTGCCCTTGATGGACTGATGGTCCGATCCAGTATAGGACAGCTTCATGTGCGTTCATGAAATCTACATGAAATCAATGGGTGAGGGCATCCAGAGATTTGGGCTGGGCTGTCATCAATATGTGATCGATACCCAGCTCTATCTTGTGCTTCCAACCAGTCCTAGGGTTGCTGTAGAAACCCTGAACCAGTCTCTGGAGGCACTTTGAGTGGATGAGGGCTAACCAATAGAATCTTAACCCTGGCAAGATGGAAGTGCTACCGGTTAGCAGAAGATATGACCCAGAATTTAAGGTGTTGTTTGTTCTGGATGAGGCTGCACTTCCTTTGAAGAACAGGGTCCTAATTTGGGGATACTCTTGGTGCCCCGCCTAAGCAGATGGCAATCTGGGAGCAGGCCTTCTCAGTTGTGGCACCAAAACTCTAGAACTCTCTCCCCAGAGACTTGTCTGCCTCCCTCCACTGTTGCCCTCTTCCACCATCTTTTGTTTCATTTTGCCATCTTTTGTTTCATTCTGCATTCCTTAAGTGATCCCTCCTTCCTGCTCTATATTTTAATTGTTGTTTTTATGTTTTTCCATGCCCGTTTTAGCTTTGACTTTAGTAACGTATGTGTGTTTTGTTGACTTGAAGATGTGATTTTATGTATGTTTTTATCAGCTACTTTGGTGACCCTTGTGAGAGCAGAAAGACGAGGTATAAATCTTAGGAATAAAAGTAAAACAAAGGAGGAGCCTCCTCCACTGAAGGTACAGAATGTCCTTTCTTGCATGCGTACAATGCAAGGTTATACAAGCCACTTGGGCAGGTAATATATATTACGCACCAGAACAGGAAAACGGGTTTTACAAGCCACAGTGGTTCCTTGACAATCCATAACTTCTAGAACATCTACTTTGAACACAGAGCTTGCATGGTAGAAAGTCACAGTTCTCCAAAGCACCTCCTCTTACAGTCCTTTAACAAGTACATTTACCAAAGCAAAATGGAAGGCAGGAAATGAGACTCACAATGTTCAGCTGAGAAGGAGTGCAAACTATGCCACGGAAAGAAACGGTGTAGTCAATGCTGACATCGTGGAGGCTTGCCCACCAACGGGCAATGCAAAATTCAATAGTCTTTTCACCCTGTGGAATAAGGAAGAACACAAACTCTGGTTGCCATTCCAAAAAGCATTTAGGTTGGCACAGCTATTCTGGCAATCCCTAAGATGATAGAAAAAAACAACTGATGGCACTAGATATTATTCCAGAAAGGATAACCTGCCTGGGGATATGAGTTACATAAATCATAATATGCTGCCTTTCCATGAAGTGTGGGGAAGATGAAAAGTTATTTAGAATGCTATTTAAAATAGCAGCAAGGAAACTGTTAAGTACGGCTGAGAAGGTCATGGGGTATAATGCAGCAACACAATGAGCCTTCTAAATTTTTATAATGTTTTTAAGTACTTAACCACTTTGTCAATCCATAAAAATACAATATGAGAAATTATTCCTTATCTTAGCCTAGGCCGTGTCCTTCCTTACAATCCACCCCTTAGCATGTGGAAGAAAGCTAATAAGTATATCTCTGCAATCCACATGTTCACACCTAGTCTCCCCTATTTCAGTCTTCAGATGCAGTACAATATACTTCCAAAATAAATGGTTAGACTATTAAGATTGTTAAATTCAGCTCACTTTAAAGTAGAAGATCTTTGCAGAAGCTTCCTGACAAATGTCCATAACTGCCTTACAGTATTTATTTGATTGGTCCTCCACACCTAACCTGTCAGCTGGCCTATTATTACTTTTCCCATTATTCTCTGAATCTAAGCAAAACTAAGTCCACTTTTAACATTCTAATCCTGGTGAAAGGGAGCAACGGTGGAGCTTGCGGGTGTAATGGATGATGGGGGAGCTACAGAAGAGTAAGGGAGCTTGCTCGAGCGATCCCACGTGGCCAGATGAACTGGCTGGGCAGCATGATGTGCTTCCCCCCACACTGGTGGCCCCTGGGGCCTAGCTCAGGCTCCATCATAGGCCCCCCTGGGAAGGGGAAGGCAGGTTTTTCTGCCGCCACCACCTGGGCCCCTAAGCTGCCCATGCAGCCTGTCCTGCCTTGCAAGACGTGGCCAGCCATGGCTGCCATTGCCACAGCTGGCTCTCCTCACCCACAGAGGACCACGAATGGGACCCATGGCTGAGTCAGAAGGCCATCTTTTAACACTGCCTTAGTGCTCTAACCAAGCCTCCCTCTAAGCTGTGGAGTCCTGTGAGCAAGAATTCTACTTTATGAGTTACTGGCATTAAAGTTGTGAGTGAGCGATTGGGCTACTGCATAAATTAGTTTGCCTCTGGAGCCATCCTTCCTGAGCTAAGTCGAAAATGTATCAGCTGGATGCTAAAAAACTGTGAGATAGCTCATGCTAACTCAGCTTAGAGGGAACACTGGTTCTAACTGCATCCTTGTGAATGTTTTGATTCTGGATTCAAGGTAACTTACTAAGACAGGAAATGCTTCGGTAACTGATCCCTTTTCTGGTACAGAAGAGAATTTGTAGAACTCATGGCTCCGGTATGCCTTTTGTTTTACCAGCTGAACGGCATGGAGAACAAACTTGGCAGTCACGTCAGGGGACGATGAACACACAGTCACTTCTAAATAGAAAGAAAGTTGCAACATTAGTACTAGAACTGTGTAGGCCTTTGGATCATTCCCCTGAAAACTAGCATATATCATTAGAACCAGTGGCACACTATGCTTAACACCCTGATTCGCCAATCTTTGCAAAATGCAAACAAGCACCAAATCAATGATATTAAAAACTACAACATCAATATACTCAATTGTATATGGAAAAAAATCCCATGACGTTTTTAAATGTACACAATTAACTTTTCATTTAAAAAAACGTTGCTTTGTCTTGTCAAATTTCCAAATTTCCATGAAATATTGTAGTATTTTCTTTACCAGCCCATGTTGCTCCAGCAGGAACCTCAATAAAGTGTCTTTGAATCTGACCAGGTTTAAAATGAACATCAGTAAATTTCAGTTCGTAGTGTGAAGCTTCATTTGTTCTACAAAAAGAAACCACATTTTAGGTTAGTTGTGGAGGACCAATCAAATAAATACTGTAAGGCTGTTAGAAATTGCAAGAAACTCTCATGGAAATTTACAGCATTTCAGAATGCCTTTTTGAAGATGGCTAAGGCTAGCAATTTCATTCAAGCTCTGAATCACAGCTGTATGAAAAGGAAGTATTTTTAAAAATGGTCTTTGATTACAACGACAGCAACTTTATGACATCAATTCACAGTGAGAAATAGCTATTACCAAAAAAATTAAGGCTTTTGGCACCCTTCCAGAACATGACAAGAGGTTTTCTTTCTGCTACTGAAATGCAACAGAGGAGGTGGGCTGCATTGTGAAGCATTTGTCTGGCATTTGTCTGGCCCACTGCTGTAAAATGAATGCTCAACTAGCTGGGACATTAAGTCTCATCCAGCAAGATTCTCGTATATTGATAATTCCAAACTTTTAAATACATTTTGTGTATAATTAATTACAGCAGAATATAATTAATTACAGCAGAATAATATTATGAATGTTAAATGTAAAATTAATATACAGAGGTTATGTGTGAACTGTGCTTTGTTGTTGACTGATCGCTTGAATGTAATAAGTGTTGTTGATGATGTTAATAAATAATTCTTTCATGTGACATAGTTTATTCTAATTTTACAGACGGAGAAAATAATGTGGAGATAAAGTGACGTGCTCAAGTTCACATAAGTTCACAGAATCCTGTTCTCTTGTAAGCATTTCTAGCTCTTTGTTCTGGGAGCCAGACTGGTTTTACCACACCCTGCTAGATGCAAGCAAGGACATTTTCCATCTTTCTCACTGGTAGTACTGGACAACTACACAGAAAACATGCCACAGACTACAGACTCAGATGGAAGAGCGCCCCACAAGTATCTATACTCACAAAGCATTCCAAGCAATAAAACCACACTTACCTTCCTGGTATAACAACAGTTATTGGAACTCTGAACAAAGGACCTGCATTAGGCATTGATATTTCATAACCACACACCTTTAAAAACAATTGAAAATGCAGCCGAATTAGTTATATTTAGAAAGCATGCTTCAATATTTTAGATACATTTCAGCTGTTGTGCCTTGAGCTTCCACAATTATAGTTCTTAAAATAATATAAACTAACACTTTGTTAGCTGTGCCTGTCAAAGCTATGAATTGTAAAGAAAATACAGGAGATCTTTCTCCCCTCTTTTCTTTTTGGCAGACAGACCAGGAGCTCTGTCAGTTCACAGTGCTGTCACAATGCATCTTTACCAGTCTTTCCCCACATATCAGTTCCTCACCACCCCCATATCCTTATATCTACAGACAACCCCCTGAAGCGGTTCAACAGGACGTATGAGATGCATAGTAAGCAGAGGCACTGCTGCATTGTCCAGGAGGGAGAAAATGGCCCACAGAGTAAGCTGCTCTATTAATGCTGATAGCAGCTAAGTATCCATGGTACTTAGCAAATTTTAAAATCGGTAGGTGTGAAGACAAATACGAAGTCCACTGGGTATAGAAGTTCCATCAACAAGACTAAGAGAGCTAGTGGTGTGCAGCAGCTGGAGTGCTGGCCTAAGATCTGGGAGACTCAGGTCAGAATGCCTCCTCTGCCATGGAAGCTTTTTGGGTGACCTTGGTCCAGTCACATGGTCTCAGCCTACCCTACCTCACAGGGCTGCAGTTGTCAGGATCAGATGCGAGAGGATAACAATGTGAGCATGTTTGGGCCCCCACTGGGAGAAGCGTAGAGTATAAATGAAGTACATAAATGGAACAAGGTCAAAAGAAAAGTACCTCTGTATAATGAACTCCTTCGCGCAGACCACGTGGGTCAACACGGATGTTAATATGTCGACACTGATTCATGAGCTCCAGGTGAGCAGGACACTGAACCCAGGGTGCACTTGAAGTTAAAGCTAAATGAAGCTGGAGAGATATCCTTTCAGTATTTTCTGAAACAAGAATACGCACGTTTGAAATTTTAATCCACTGGTCCAACAACTTAATCCACTAGTTCAACAACTGTCAGCTTAAAAAAACAGTTACTTGAAAGTTTTCTTGCACCATGTGACAGATTTGTACGTGAGCCCCCATTAAACCCTCCTCATGCACTACTGAAAATACATGATGCAAGCAGTTCCTTTCTTACCTGTATTCTCAGGAAAGAATGGCTCTATGCCAACTCCATGGTCTGAAGGTGCAGTAACCTGTGCAGGATCTCTGAGGTAAATTCCGCGGTTGTTGCCAACAGTAACTGTGAAACCTATGTTGTTAGCAAATGATGAATTCTGAATGAGGTAGTCATAGGCTTTATCAACCTATTTAAAAAGAGAGAGAGATCTGAGCTCAAAATCTGGAAGTTCAACTTTATCAAAACGGTACTTTTGTGTATAATATCTATATCGCATCTATACCGAAGCGGCCTCAGCTAGAATTCGTGATGTAGCTCTAACAAGGAACACTACTCATGGCATGATTCCACCCCCCCATGTCTTTTGGAAGTATTTCCTATTTGAGTCACTGTTTTCAGACTATACAGATCGGGTGTTTTCAACTTCTTGGGGTTTTGTGGGTTTCTGTCCCCATTTGTCATATCATGTTTTCAGAGGAAAGTTTACACATGTATCATAATCTATTCTGAACAAGAACACCTACACAAACAACACGCATACCGCTGTTCTTGCCCTGAGCACACAACTGCACAAGTTTCAGTGTGCCACCTTCCCCATGATGCTTGGGATCAGTGATATATTCACTGCTGCAATTTCCACAGCCAATGCTTGCTCCATTACAGGAGCTTCCTTATTAAGCCTTCACAAGGAAGACCCATCCAGCTCATTTTCTTTAAGGGACAATGGACATGAAGATAGCCTCTGCGATGAATTTCAATTGTAGGCGCCTTTAAGAGCCAAATCTTCACTGAAAAGTTTTTATTTAAAACACGTCCAGGCTGCTTTTCTATCCAGATATGATCTCTCAAAAGGCAAACATCAAAACAGCAATCGAAATGTATATAAAATATTTAAACAATTCAATAAAAAATATAGACATACAAACACAACACAACCAGGAAGGAAGGTCGATAAGAGTTACTTGGGGGTACATGAAACAAAATAAAAAAGTCTTCACCTGCTGGCAGAAGACAATGATAGACTGAAACAGACAAGTCTCCCTGGAAAGGGAGTTCCAAAGTTTTGGTGCCATGACCAAGAAGGCCTTTTTGCGGGTTGCTACCCATCTAGCCTCAGGAAGGGGCAAGGGTCATACAAGCTGGTGGCGGGTCTCAAACGTCCAAGAAGGGAGTAAATGTAAGAAATAAGTAATACCATGTGTGATGTCCTCCTTATTGGGGAGGACTATTTTCACTTTAAAAGTTCTCTTTATTGTTTAACTGGGTAGATTCTGCTGCCACCAGGAAATTTTAAGGATTTCCAAACCTTTATGCTTCTACTGTTGCTCTTTTTAGTTTGGTAGACCGAGTTCAAGGCTTACGAGGAACTATGTGGTCCTGAGAAGTATTTCATTCAGAGCTGGTATAAACTTAAATAAAAGAGGATTTATTGAAATAAATACTAAATAAGAGGGTGATACAATGTAACTAGTAATGTGTAAATGATGTACAATTGCTTTGGTATCACACTCAATCTTTTCCCTCACTGACAGGGATCTTTTCATGTAACTTTGTAACACTTGTTTATCTCAATGCCATATATGTTCACTGTTTCACTCCAGTCTGTTATGACACTCAGACTTTCTTTTAACTTTACTTTACTTAAACTTTACTTTACCCTATACATTCAGCTTTCAGCTCTCTTTCTCTTTCTCACTGAACAACCGCAGCTGTCCACTTCTAACTGCTTCTACACAGAACTAACTTCCTCAACTGTCAATCTGTAACTGAAACTACTGACTGACTCACATACTCATCCACCCAGATTCACTTCCAATACCCCTCCCCCTCTCTGTCAACCACCAATCATACCACACTTGCCTCTCTCAACCACTCTAGTCTATCACAGCCATGCAACCAAACTTTTAAAGAGACACACACACACAAAAACAAGGAATCATTACACCATGCATGGCATTTTAAGAGAGTTTCAGGGATTTTGCACTTCTTCCACCTCATGGTGCACGCAATGCTATACTACTACCAAAAAAAGGCTATTTTTTCCAAAAAGTCCTGCTTATGAGGAAACTAATTCTACCTACATGATAAAAGAAGCTGTTATAGCAGCCAAGCCAATACAGCAAATGCACGTCATCATATGCATTCCAGGAACCCTGTGTAGAGCACAGGTCAAATCCATTATTTGTTGTGCTACTTATCTTGTAATTTCAACAGTGAATTGCCAGCCACCACTTCTAATTGAAGCCAGTTGAAAAGAAAACCGGAATCAGCTATAAGTTATAACCAGAACTTTGCTGATTTGGGGAAAAAAGTGATTACAAAGCATCAAATGATGGAGTGAAACAACAGGTACGTATCTATTAATTACAAAACAGGTACGTATCTATTCATTACAAAACAAACAGATTTGTTAGCAACATGCCTTCAAAGGACACTTTCTTTCAATTTCTTTTTAAGTACCTGAATAATACCATGACCTTGAGCAAACACATGTATGTTTTCCACCTTCACTGCAGTATTTTCTAGTGCTCTCCTGACTGAATGAACAGTGTAACGCACATCATTAGCTTTGAGCCCTGCAACAGAAAAGGGCGGTTGAAGTCACAGAGAGATCTGCTCATTATCACTTGCTTTAAATATTATGAAATGCCCTTTTGGTGTGGATGAAACGTAACTCGCTCCCACCTTGTTTAAAGAGAAACGGTTTTCTGTACACATTACCTGAGAGTACCAAAGCAATACCCCCACATGCATTGGGCGAAGACATCGATGTGCCGTTCATGAGCTGTGTTCCTCGTAAAGTCCAGTTAGGAACAGAGGCAATAGCCCCTCCGGGAGCACTGATACTCACTCCCACAGCTCCATCCGTACTGAAAATCGTAGAACAAAAAGACAAGCTTAATACAGTAGCGAACCCCCAGCTGCCTCCCAAGCTGTTCAACTTGTTGTCATTAGAAATAAGTGAAGAAAACTGTCGTTCAGGATCCCCATCTGACTCCCATCAGGTACCGCCTCCAAGCCGATTCCTAAATGTATGAACCAAATCCCCACTTGGCGTGCCTAATCTTCTAATAAAGGATAATCTATGCTAAGTAGTAATTTACCGTGGTGTGCTTATAAGCCTTTGTTAAGCTAAGTAGGAGAACTTTACTTAACTTTACTTAATTTTATTATGATCGTAGCTCAGCAATAACATAAACAGTCAACAACACATACAGCAGCACATACAGTAAAATCATAACCTTGTTACAGCCTAAATCCCATGTTACATGCATAGTTAATAAAATCTCCTTATTAAATGAGCTGAAGCGCAAAATTTGGCCACCTTAACGGTGGTTTCCTTGGGAGTGATCTGAAAGATGGGACGTATTAAACTTGGCAGATCGACCTGGAAAATTGGATAGACCTGGGGTGACATACAAGGAACAAACACCCTTATAAAATGAATACAGCAGCACAGATTTGGCTGTTTCGACTGCTTTTGATTGGCAATGATAAACATGGTGAGAATATGGGGTGTGTTTAACAAAACCCTACTAGAAGTGCTGAAGGCAAGACATTAAAGCTGGCCAAGATGAAGGCTTCTTGATATCCAGGGAATTCTAAGGCATAAAGTTATTCTGCCAGAAAAAAAATGTTTGCCATTATTCTCTGCGGCTGGGTAAGCCTGAGCTTTTGCTCTATCAGGCAGGAAGTCTGTATCTTTGTTGGTTATCATTTTTTTGCTCCCCAAACTCCAAGATGCTGTATGGCTGTGGGAGTAAATCCATAAAATCATACCCTGCGAAGGGTGTTCGGAACCCAGCGTGGGACACCAAACACGGATCTGAGAAATTTAGACTGAGTTGCCTTCAGGGAACAAAAACCTTTAGAGAGACACAGTTGTGAGCCATACTTAAGCTGAGGTATCCCCTAGCCCTGGAAGACTTTAATCACATATGATATGTATGTTAGCCCCCTTTCAAATAAAATAATCTCAAGGGAGCTGATAACACTTTGGGGACATTTTCAGTCACAAGGGCAATCTGTGCTCTTCATTGGCTAGATGACTGAAAAACTACATCAAAATATTTTAAAGCCTTTACTTGGTCAATATCATGGCTAGGCAAAGACAAGATATTTGGGGGGGAAGTTTATTGTTAGCTGTTCCACCTTGCAACAGGCACCGAGAGCTCAATGGGATAAAATCACCATGTTATCTGCATAAAGAACTGTGGGAATTAGTCTATTTGCTAGTCTGGGTGGGTGAAAATCCAGATTAGACCATGCTTGTACCAATGAATTGATATAAAAATTGACAGAATGTCCAAGACACATCCCTGCTTCACACCTCTTCTGATATGCTGTACTAACAGTTCACTGCTGTCTCCTGTGAGATAACATGATACAATACACCCCCAGTGAACACACGTTACTTACCTAGGTCCTCGAGATGACCATGTGTACTGATTTGCAGGTAGCTTCTCTCGCAATGAGTATTCAGCAACCATCATTTCAGGTGACACGTAAGCACCAACACCTGTAAATTTAGACATGCTTCTAAGCTTAAGCTACTAGTTACAATCAGTCTAACGGTTCTGACAACTGTGGCCTCTTTGGGAAGTCTGTGGTTTAATTTTATGTCAGCTACATAGAATGGTTTCTTTCTCTTCAAGTAGTCTACTGAATTATATTATACACTGTTTGTTTTTCACAAAACAGTAGCAACATTACTAATGTAAAGATTATTAATGTATTTGGGCCCATTTGATAAGGCACTTCTTGGGCTTTTAAAAATGTACACACACAGAAACCAAGAGTCATTTGCACCTGGATCTGGCTTTTCTCCCAGATACCCAGTTGGCATCTGTGGGCAAGATAGTCACATTTTATCAGCTATGACAAACATTTTCACTACACTCCCATCCTGGCAACAAGTGCTTGTGAGATTCACCTGGGCTTTTTAACAGCCTTGTAAAATGATGATTACAGTGAGTCTTTATGCCTTTTGGTTGAGATTAGGTACAGGAAATATGACACAAAATTTGTCCAACTACATTAGTTACCAGTTTGCTCTCAGAGAGAATCAAAATCACAGCCTGACCCAGTGTCATTACAGAAACCCTTAAACCCTCTGCAAGCATTCATACTTGTTCAAGCTCTCAACAGTGCTAGTGTAGATCTCACTCTCATATAAGGTTGGTCAGGGCAGGGCCTTGCCCGTGGTAGTGTGACTAATCAATTAATTTTCAAGGCATTACAGCCTCCCTGAATCATTTCAGATGCCAAGTTAATACTTGTTTTCTGCCATACCCTTAGCACTACATGCTACTGGAATAAGTAGGCAGAATCTTAAATATTCCAGCCTTTTTATATTACTACTGCTTGATGTATGTGATTATTTTATTCTGTTGGAGGCCCTCTCCATAGAAAGGTGATTTAGAAATAGTTTTAAAAGGTGCATCTTTTATTCCATTTCCAAACACACATTTCAGCCATCTGGCGGCAGACTGCTGGCTTGTTCCACCGCTCTTGACAGTTCTGACAACCCAATCACCAAATGCTTCTCAGTTCGTTCTACCGGGCAGCTAAAACTGACCAGTCGGGGAGGAACAATGGTACACAGCAGCAAACAGGGGATATTGATCCCATAAGTAGTACCAAGAAGCCAATAGTGTCAGCCTTGGTTAAGGGGGGAAATAACCACAGAATGGCAAGCAGGCACTGAGAAAGGGAGCTCTGACACTCAGAAGTTTATACACAAAAAAATCTTGTTGGTCTCTAAGCGGCTACTGGACTCCAGGTGTGTGTTTATTCATTTATTTATTCATTCTATTTTCTACGGAAGAAGAAGAAGAGATTGGGTTTATACCCCGCCCTTCACTACCCAAGGGAGTCTCAGAGCGGCTGACAAACTCCTTTCCCTTCCCCTCCCCACAACAGACACCCTGTGAGGCAGGTGGGGCTGAGAGAACTCTTGACAGAAACTGCTCTTTTTCAAGGAAAGCTGTGCCAGAACTATGGCTTGCCCAAGGTCATCCAGCCAGGTGCAAGTGGAGGAGTGGGGAAATCAAACCAACATGGCTACCCTGTGTCACTATATACAGTGAATACTGAGAATACAGGTAAGATGTTGGAGATTTATGACCAGGTGTACCATTTCTAAGCTTCTGTAAGTAGCAATTTATAGATTATAATCTAGTTTTAGATAATATACTTTAATAATTACCATGTTTTCTATGCTGTGACTGCCCTGAACCCACTTGTAGGGTAGGGTGGGATATAAGCCAAAGAAATAAATAAAACAAACAATGGAAAGACCAGACAGCAGCGGTGAGCAAGGACTGTTCCTTCCCTACTCCCTGTGTCATAAGTTGCCCCAGTAGTTAGAAAACTAAAAAACCCACCATTCTTTCAAACAGTACCTCCAAGGTGGCGATTTACATCAAGAGAAAGGGCTCAAGAGTAACCCCACCACCACTCAACGCCTAGTGTCACAACCCTAGTTTAAACTGCTTTCCCACACTTTTGAGAGAAGACACAGGTGATCTGAGAACAGGCTTCCCATGACTGCAAGTTTTATTTAAGTTTTCTATTAGAAAGATGTAAAATTCTGATTCATATGCAGCTTAAATAAATATACTTGCCTATGACACTAGATGTAGTCCCACCCGGGCATCCAACAGTAGATAAGCAAGGCCCATTGTTCCCAGCACTTGAAACATAGATTACGTTGTGTTTCCACACGGCTTCATTAATTACTTCACATATTCTCCTAAAAAAAAGAAAGAAAGAATACAAGAACAACAATTCTATTATTCCTTTTCAAACTGTGAAAAAAAATATCCATAGCTATTCCAATGCACTCAAGAAGCTGCCTTTCATAACAGCGAACAAGCTTCAGACAATTCACCTCCTTCCGTAATTGTCCTGCCTGGACACAGAGCTCTTCACCACAGTCTCTCCTCTGTGTTGCTTCTCTTATGTGAAGCAAGAAGAATTCTCACAAGAGGGATCCCCCTCTGTGTCATCCACCCACACACACACCCCTTGGTCACTGGGATGTCCCCCGTCTCTGGGCTCCTTTTGGCAGCAGTGAAAATATGCACTTATTTGGACAATTTCATTCTCCTTTAGACAAGAGCATACGGTAATGACTTCCACTGCTGACTGCAACTTTGATGCCAGTAACTTTACTTTTGCTGATGTTGCCTGAAACAATTTCAGGCACACTGTGCAGATGTGACATGCATATTTTAACTAAGTGCAAAACTTTCATCTCACAGATTGTGCCGTGGCCTTCCTAAACCTCACTTCATGAAGCAACTGGCTGACTTTGTAGTTTGCAATGTGCTGCCTACTTCTTGGCACTTAATGCCATCTGTGAAGAAATGCATTTTTTCTTTGGAGGTTTGAAATGAGCAAAACCTTCACTCTGAGTTTTAAACATTTTTCCCTCTCTGGGCAGAAAGCAGGCAGGAAGGGAGGAGGTCAGTTCAATTGCTTTCCAGATGTACCTCAGCCGACCTTCATACAAATGCAAGTCTAGACAATGGGATGGTCACCCCCCCCCCCCCCCCGCAGGGAAGAGAGATTTGGAGGAACTAAATACTACAGAGACTTCAGGAAGGAAATTTCTTTCTGGAAACTTCAGGATACAGTTCTCTGACCAGGACTGACCTGGTCAGTGGGTGGGGGAGAGAGGTGATAAAACTCAGGGGAGGAAGGACTCTCTTTTGTGCTGGGTCCATCAGAGCAAACAGAACTCTTAACGGAGGTCTGGAGGAGGCAGCCATTTTAACCATGTGCTGGCCTGGAGACTTCAAGGTAATGATAACATAAACATAGAGATCTGTAACTTCCTAAGCTAAGGAGTCTGTCCTATATTTTATCATCTGATAGGACATATACAGAGAGAGGAACAGAGGAACTGCGTTTTACCCATTTCTTTTGAATCCCTTGCTCAGTCTGGTGCTGTGCTAAAAGTATGCTTGTGAACATTTTTTTAATAAATACTTAATTTTTGACGCTGGTAGTGGTTCTCTGTACCACATAGACCTCCACTGTCTTGGACATGCTATTTAATAAGGAGCACCAGGGGGGAAGGCAGTCAGTCGGCAAGTGGCTATTCCTCAAGGGGTGCACAAAGCAGTGAACAGTCTCTGTGGTGACCAGGCACTAAGCATCGGGAGACCCAGAGTCAAGGCCTTAAGAACTTGGAAGGGAAGCTGGGAGTCCTGACCCTCCCAGTGTGTAATTCCTGTAAAGGTCAGGTGGTGGCAGCGGGTCATCGAGAGAGAGAGAAAAGCCTCTCCAGGTGTTGGGAGAACCTCAGAGGGCAGGGTGGAATAGGGCCTGCAGGCCTGTTCTGCTATGCCATCTACTCAGCACTGTGGTACCAGCACACAGTCACAATGGGTGGGACTTTCCACGGAAAATAGGCAAAGTTTCAGGAAAGTGATGCTTGACCTGTCTGACTAATTAATCCAGAAGCATTTGGGAACAGACTTAAACCCTGTTTAGCAAGTTGTTCAACACTTCCATATTTCTTAGCCCAGAAGCCACTGATTAGAGTAGGAGCTGACCTCAAATAATGGCCATGAATCAGCTACCAGGTAAGAGTTCTATTGTCAAGAAGCTTTTGAAGCATACACCAAGACAAGATTTAAATACAAAGTTATTTCCTACACAAACCATTTCAAGCCGGTACAGTGGATTATACTTGAGGAGTCCAACTGCTGTACTGAAATTTCAGTCTTGGCCCCACAACACCACTGTAGACCAAAAAATCCTCAGTCATATAAACACAAGCTTCTTTTCAGGTATCTGTGGCTAGCTGACACATCAAGCTATTTTGCTGCAAATCCTTCCTTAACTTACTAGCTCACAACTACCCAAAAGATACACACTAGATACTCAATCCAGTATCCTGGGTGGAAAGATTTGGCTGTCCCTGGCAAAGAGCAGAGTAACAGTAATGAAAACAAGATCTACTCACCCAGCATTTGGCCAGTGTGTTGCCTCTCCGTAACTGTAGTTCACAAGGTCACACTTGTATTTTATTGCTTCTATCATCTGTTTAAAAAGGTTAGACTTGATCAATCAACACCTCAGTGTGTTCCATGACATCACCTGCTTACAACGAGCCACAGTGTCACTGCCTTTAACAAGGTTAGAGATTACTATTAAAGAAGCAGACAAGACCATTTACCACAACTTTTCTAGAACACTATGCGTTTAAAAAGAGCTTGAACACACTCTTTGAATGGTAAGCTACTCAGAAATTCATTGCTCGAGTCATTAACAGCTGGCCAGGGACTCCCACATTGTGGCTGCTTTCTTGCCTGTTTTTTCTGGGTGCCTCTGCTTCACTCAAGAGAGATGCCAGTCAGTACTTGGGAGACCTCCAAGGAATATCAGGGCTGGGACGTAGAGGTAGGTAACAGTACTCCACCTCTCTGAAACATCCAAGCCCCACTAGAGGTCGCCAAAAGTCAACCATAATTTCCAGGCACACACAATTCACCAAAAAGAGAGAGAGATGCCAGTCAGTGTGTGGGTGGGTATCCCTGAAAATAGCACTGCCAGGAATCTTAGATTTCCTTTTGCTTGGCCAGTAATGTTCTTAGTTTCCCCCTCCCAGTTCCCTGCCACTGGACCTCTGAGGCTTGCTCCCAGCCCTGTATGTGTATTCTAACTCTCCTCCACCCCCATCCCCGTGCAATACAGCAATATGCATCAGAGGTCTCTGGGGCATCCTCTAATTTTAGACAGAGCACTAGTGGGTAAGAACAACCTGTAAAGCACCACACATGGTGCCACCTCAGACCCAGCGAGCACAGATATAGCTTTACGTACTTTGGTGCCTGATACCACGGAAGGGTGTGTGTGAAGAAGAGAGATGGAGACATATTAGGAGGGAACTACGAGAGTAGTGCCAGCTAGGCAAAACCAGTAGTACCAGCCCGGTTTTCCTTCTTGGTGGCTGGCATCTCTCTCAATTCTAAAAGCACCATAACGCTTCAATTCTAGATTCTCCCTGACCAACACACAGGCTACAGGAAAGTGGAGACAAAGCTGATGTGTGCCGCTCTCCTCCTGAGCAGCCTGACTAGCTAAGTCCCTCCCTTGAGGGCCCCCCACCCCAGTCACTCTGCAACCGAAGTGGGACAACTGTGCTTTAAGAACTGTGATGGTAAAGATGTTTAATGCACTGACACGTGTTGATGCTGGTCGTCTGGCAGTAAACAGAAAGCTGAGCAGAGTATTGAACCTTTGCACCTTGGAGACCCTTGCGGCATTATACATACAACTGTGACCCTAAGTTGTTGTTTCAGTTCCAATGATTAACTGTTTCCTTTACAAAACAGAAATGTTAACAAGCAACCTGAGAAGATTTTACTTGCACTCCACCACCCCAGAAATGGATTTAGCCACCACGTGTCATGCAGCCATATCTTTAATCTACTAATGCAGCCAGTACTTACAGCTCTTATGAGGCCAGTGCCCGTCTCCATTGTGCTTAGTCTCGTGTCACCGATCTTGATAGCAAGAATTTGTGCACCAGGTGCAACCCCATTTCGTTCTGGGTCATCAGGAAAATTGCCAGCAGCAATACTAGCAACATGTGTTCCGTGTGCGCCTAAAAGGGCATACATGTTAAAAAGAGCTCCATGTATCACCTTGGTGAAAAGCAACTGCTGAATCCAATCTGCCAATTTATGTGTTCTTTTACTATACTTCATACTTCTGAGTCCTTAGCTTTCTATGGAGAAAACCTAAGGAGGAAACACTGTCCCAGCATGACAAAAGCATGTAGAAAGGCATTATCTGCACCTGTTGCAACAAGCAGAAATTCCTCCAACATCCTGCAGACAGCATATGAATTTCCTGAATGGTGTGCTTATGTGCAGCTATGAAAATGCTCTTAATGCCTCTGGAGAGGGGCAATTTATGTGAAGGGGTTTATGAGCAATTCCCCATGCAATCTAGGCACCTTTAACCACAATCATATAATGCACTGCGGTACTCAAAATGTGCCAGAAGCATTTGTGAAGCTGCCCATGAACATGACACCTCAAATTATGGAGTGGGCCCATGAAGCCAAGAGTTAAGAAATATGTATTTTAAACAGATTAAGATATAATTGATTTTATTAAATGTTATCTCATTGGCCTCCTCAAATATTACCCACTGTAAACTTTCACAGTGGGGCAAGATATTTATTTATTAACACAAGAAAATTAAGGTGAGAATTGTTTTTATAGGGTTATACTTACCCCCACTGGTGACGATTGAGAGGAGGTTCCCTTCATCATAAATATTGACAGAGTAATTCAGCATCTCAGAAGTGCCAAAAGATCCATATTCCTGACTTTCTTTGTAGTTCCGTAAAATAGTGCAATTGGAGAGGTCACCAGATTCACTTGAATCTAGACATGCTCTGTGGAAGAGAAGAGACCCACCCCCTTCAATTACCAGTTTCCTTTCCCTAGAAGATTACAGACATTTGCATCCACCTTCTGCGATTCAGTTAACAACAGTGGCTTCTAAAGATGCTCCACCAGCATTCCTGGAATCACTTGTCAGGGATGCATGTTAGTCTAATGCGAATCTACCACTGCCCCTGGTACTTTCTTGGACCCCACAGTCAGACTCCCAATTACTTGCCAATCCTGTCCCCAAACTACCATACCCGATTTGGAGGAGGGGGGACCCCAGAACAAGGCAAAAATCACTTTGGCTAAAGGGTAACATTGCTTGGACAAGCCAATCACAGCATAAAAGCAACCAGCATTCTGCTGAGTTCCTTGAATCGCAAACAAGCAGCAAACTCAAGATTAAGGACACAGCACTGTTCCCAAGCAAACACTGGACAAAGCAAAGCAAAAGATGCATCATAGTCTTGAACATGAGGCCTACACAGTTTGGCTGGCCTAATTAATAACCCAGCCCCCTCTAGCTACAATTCACCTTTATGCACTCAGCTTAGAGGGAACACTGCTGCTGAGTTCCTTGAATTGCAAACAAGCAGCAAACTCAAGAAAGGACTCAGCACTGTTTCCAAGCAAACACTGGACAAAGCAAAGCAAAAGATGCATTATGATACAGTTTGGCTGGTCTAATTAATAACCCAACCCCCTCTAGCTACAATTCACCTTTATGCACTCCCTGGCCCAGAATCCCTCACAAATTTTCTGTGAAAATTGAAGCCTGGGCAGAGAGATAACTCCTTATTAGTAAGGGCGTAAAAGGGGACACTGGGGGGGGGGGGAGACTGCCTGCAAGCAGGAAGACGGGAATTGCTGGTTGTTCTTCCAAAAGCACAAAGAACAATCCAAAGTCTGATCCTATGCACACTTGCTCAGATCCAAGCCCTACTAAAGAGGGAAGTACTCTGTGTAGGAATGCAGAGTAAGACTCACTGAACTTTACTACTCCCTAGTAAATATATATGCACATGTATGTATGTATAGGGTTGAACTCCATTGGGAAAACCAGCTAGGTATTCCTCATCTGGCAAAGAGGAGTAATAATTGGAAACTGCTGTTCCTGACTGATAGGCACAGTTCACGCCGTTTCATTTCCTTTAATGGCTGTGGTTTTTGTTTGCGCCTGTGATTCTGGAAGGAAGACAGAAGTGAGGGAGTGGGAGTCAACATGCACACACTGGGGCAAGGCTACCCAGTGGTGCTCTACCAGCTGAGGACCCAAGGAGCAAGTGCTCAGCTTGTGCTTCCCTTTCCCCATCCAACACTGGAGAACAGCGAGGAACCTTCCGCTTTGCATGGGCACCCAAGAGAGGAAGCTGGGACACACCCTCACTTCCAGGGCACAGAAAAGGATTAGCGCCCTCCTTCCTACTTTATGACATGCAGGGAAGAAGAGGTCTGTAGGCCTGATCTTTTTACTCTGCACAGGGTGCACGGAATGAAGAAAGCACAGTCTCCTCCTGCCTCGGGCATCCTGTACATAATGAACTTCTGCAGCAGTGTGCTTTCTCTATTGCCTCATGCAAAGGCAGCAGAGGACAGGGAAGAATTCAATCCCACTCAAGTGTTTACTATTTATGGCAAGCCTCTACAGGCATAAGCACATTACAAGGCATACGGGTGAGTCCAAATGGATCATTTTACAGCCCAATAAAGGACCAGTTACCTCCAGGTTTCGCCATCATGCCACACCAAGCAGTCATAAACAGGACCCGGATCATTGTACTTTTTCTCGAAAGAATTCAACAACTCCACTTGACTCTGCAGCTCTTCCTTCATTAGTTTGCTTTCCTAAAGATAAAGGGTTCCATAAAGTAGGCTGCACACAGTTGCCCACATCCAGCTAAGGAGAGCCAAACGCATACGCCTTGCTAGACTGGCAAGTACTGGCATAACTGATATGCAAAGCTTCTAGACACTCTGAAGACATGGGGGAGAGATGAAATGTATTTAGGGGAGAGATGAAATGTATTTATTTTACTTATTAAAATATTTATATCTCCCCTTTTCACGTGGTTCAAGACAACTTACGATAATAGTTAAATACATATTCAGTTTAAAAGCAAAACTGAAATAGCCAATCCCAAATTCCCCCCCCCCCCAAAAAACACCTTTCCATGTGGTTCAAGACAACTTACAATAATAAAATACATTTTCAGTTTAAAAGCAAAACTGAAATAGCAAATCCCAAATCTCCCCCCCCCAAAAAAAAGGTGCCTGCCAATTGAGAGTCCCTCAAGAGTCCTGGCAAACAGGCAGGAGTTGTAGTGGCTCTTGAAGATCTCCAACAAGGGGAGCCCCCTCACCACTTCTGGGAGCCCATTCCACAGAGCCATGACGGAAAAGGCTTGGGCTCTGGTTGATGCCAGATGGGCTACCCTAAGTGGTGAGATAGCCAACAGATGGCTGCCTGATTACCATAGTTGGCATATAGGGGAACATGGAAAGAGATGGCGGTAAAGGTACATTTACCAAACCTGAAGCGTATTTTGCTGCTTTAATAACACAAAACACATTATTAATTTTATCATATGCAATTGTACCACCTGGTACTTCTGAAATTTAATTTTGTAAAGGCCCTTATCTGGCTCAAATAAAATTGCAGACATACTCAATACTACAGATAAAGAAAGGAAGTTGCAAATTTAAGCACCATACCTAATTTCTCAGATGGCAAAAACCGAGAAAACATAAAAGCTGAAACTGAAAGCCTGAGATTTTGTAGTACTTTGTCTTAGAAACAGTCCCCAATAGGAATGGGCATGAACCGAACTATGAAGCAAACTTTGTGATGAATTTTGCCCTGTTTGTGGTTTGGGAACCCAAGTCCATGATGGGTCTACTGTCATGGACTTCCATGAATTGTTAAGGCTCTGGTTCCTGGCCAGACCAAAAAGCAGGGATTTAAAGGGAGTGCCTTTGTTTTCTCCTCCAGCAGAAAGCCACAAAAACAGCTGAGTGCCTGGGCCCCACTGCTGCTCAGCTGTTTTGGGCTTTCTTGTACAGTCCCTTTAAAGTTTAAACTGCTCCATATGGCTCAGCTGTTTAAAGAGGGCTTTTGTGGTAGCCAACCCCCAGGGCTCTCTGCTGAAGAAATCCTCTTTAAACAGCTGAGTCCCTGGGGCTCACTGTCCAAGACAGCTTCTTTAAACAGCTGAGAGGCACAAAGTGAAAAGTTTGCTCCATGCCTCTCAACTGTTTAACAGGGCTCTGTCGCTCAGCTGTTTGGTTTAAATGGCTCAGAGCTATTTAAAACTCTGCTTTCTGCTCCCTGTGGAAAGCAATGGGGAGCAGAAAGCAGGGGTCATGAACCTATACGAACCAATTTGGTTCGTGAACCAACCTTTCAGTTCATATGGCTCCGTGGTTCAGCCACAAGCCTAACCGAACTGCAAAAATGCAGTTGCACTGGATGCTTTATATCTCACATGTACAGGTTCATGTTCAGCAAAGGAACATACACGTAGGCACTGCCTCTATGTACATACATCCTTTAAAGGATAAAATAGTCTTTACTTTCCTGTTTATTAGGGAGAATAGAGCCCCGTTAATTTCAAACTCTTACTCAGTGCATAAACAATTTATATTTTGAGTATTTTATTTTTTTAAATCCATGCACCTTTCTAGTTAGCGTGCATGAGGTGAGGACTTTACTTTCAAATATTAAGCAGCTCCTCACAAAAGTCATAACATAAAACTCAGCATTGACATACAAAATGGGACACAGTAATACGGAAGCATATCATACCAGCCTCTAAATGCCTGCAGCAGTGGAGTTTCCCACCACCTTCCACAAAGGACTTTAAACTGAGCCAGGCTCTCTCTTAAGGAGAAAGTTCCAGAGTTCTTTTGCCATTACAGAGGAGACACTACTTCATGGACCTGCCCATCAAAGAAGAAAGATGAAGAGAAGAACTTCACCTGTTCATCTGGCCAAGTTAACAGCTGTGTGCATTATAAGGGAGAAGGTAATCCCCTAGGAATAGTGGGCCCAACCAGTTTAGGGCCTTTATAGGTCAAAAATAGCACCTTGGCCCTGGCCTGGATAGCCCAGGCAAGCCTGATCTCGGAAGCTGAGCAGGGCCGACCCTGGCAAATATTTGGATGGGAGACCGCCAAAGAATACCAGGGCTGGGAGACAGAGGCAGGCTATCACACCGCTTTTCTGAATGTCCTCCATGCCCCAGTAGGAGTCATCATTTCAAGACCCCAGTAGGAGTCATCAGAGGTCGCCATGACTTCCAGGCATGGACACACACACGTATATACATACAAAAATGGAAAAATACAAAAAACTAGCTCTTTGACAACTGTTACTTAAGTAGGCAGTGGTAGCAAGTACATGAAAGGGTAGACAGATGTAATGCACTCTGTGCAACTAGTAAAGAACATGGCAAAGAGTCTGCACAACCTTCAAGGGTAGCTCCATACACACAGTGCAGTAGCCTTAGAATACTAAGAAGAACTGCCCTTGTCATATCCTCATATATCAGATGCAACTGGTAAAAGGCACTCCTGATCCAGGGCCCACAGGGGCACAGCCAAAGCAAGGAGTATCATATAGGCAATCAATCAATCAATAAATAAATCTAAGAAGTTGCTAAAACAATTTCATCAGAATTCCTTACACTACACTACCTATAGTCTGTAATGATTGAAGGACAACATAATTAAGACTCATGAACAATTTAAGAACTGGTAACTCTGAGGACCACGGTGGCCTCAGAGGTTAAGATGCTAAGCTGCAGACTGGAAGGACTGTAATTCAGCCGTTCAAGACCCTAGTGCTGAGTGACGGAGTGAGCTCCCGTCTCTGGCCCAGGTCCTGCCAACCTAGCAATTCGAAAGCAAGAAACTGCAAGTAGATAAATAGGTACCGCTTCGGTGGGAAGGTAACAGCATTCCGTGTGCCTTGGCATTTAGTCATGCCAGCCACATGACCACAGAAACATCTTTGGACAGCGCTGGCTCTTCGGCTTGGAAACAGAGATGAGCACCACCCCCTAGCGTCGGATTTGACCGGCTTTTGAGCAAGGGAAACCTTTACCTTTTTACTTAACTCTGACTTAGAATTTACTTCATATGACACTACTACAACGAGGTCATCCTAAGAATGCATTTGCTATATGGAAGCAGACACAGGTCAAAGATTCAAAGGTATGTTTAAAATGAATAAAGTTTGGTAAAAGGTAACAGTCAATCCACAAATGTAGAAAAGAGCAAAGTCCAGTGGCATCTTAAAGACTAGCAAATTATGTGGGCAGGGTATGAGCTTTTGTGAGTCACTGCTCACTTCTTCAGATTCTGGTGGTCTCCTCTTCAGTGACTCGAAAACTCATACCCCACCACATAGTGTTTAAGGTGCTGCTGGACTCTGCTCTTTTCTGCTGCTACAGACAGACTAACACGGCTACCAATCTTGATCAATCCACGAATGTTTTCTTTTAGTACTGAAAAGGTTACTTAATAAGCCATTATGGCAACTACTAAAGAACATTTTAAAATACAACATTTACTTTAAAATGATAACTAGTGCAAACCTGTGAAGGTGAGTTGTGAGCGGCTTCAAACTCCTCTTGCTTCCTACAGGCTTCTGCTAACACCAGTCTGTGAACAGGATCCCAAAGCTTCTCCTTGCGTTCTTTCTAGAATAGATCATAAAAGCCATTCTAAACATAAATACTTTGACGCTCTGCAGCACAGACAAGTCTCACAGCAAGTATCCTGTGGGGGAACGAATTCCCGCTTGCTCTTAAAATCCCCTTCAACCCCCTTGATACCACTTCTTGTCAAGGGCATGCAAAAACAAAAATGGTGCGGTTCCAGGGCTTGCAGAAGGCTGCTGTATCTACAGCCACATCCTTCTCTCCTGCTATTAGCACAGGGAAAGAACTTCTGGAACCAAGGCTAAGTGGCGATAAAGTGTGAAGATATTAAGAAAGCAGTGACAAAAGCACTACAGTGAAAAACAAAGAAATCCCTACAATGCATCCAGCGCATAGCTGATTTGTGAACCAAGAATAAAAGATCTGAGATGAGGCACTATCAGATAAAGGAGGCGTTACCTGTATTCGCTCCTTAAGGGCTTTCGGATAGAAATCATAGCCGTTTTTTAAACCAACATGATACTTCCCTGATGGGTTTATCCAGTCTGTTGGGATCTGGAAAAAAACGTGCAATTTAGAAATCTCCGCTTTCTCTACTCCGTTCATGTCAATTGTGCGGCGGGGGGGGGGGGGTGCTGTCAAGCTGTGACCAATTTATGGTGACCCCCAGCAAGGGGTTTTCAAGGCAAGGGAGAAGCAGAGGTGTTTACCACTGACCCTGTTTAGCTTCTGAGACATGATGAGATCAGCCTCTATCATGCTGCATTAACTATACACAATTAGAAATCAGAGGAGTGGCACTCATTCTCCGGCTCAAGGAGAGCCACAGTTGCAATTACTGTCAACCAAAAGAGCCAATTTACCTCTGCATATCCTGAGCACCACCTCACAAGCACACACACACACAACACGACAAAACACAGCTATTACTATTAGATAGCTAATTATAACCTTTCCAATTTGATTACTTTTGGGAATGCAGGGTTGTCTTTCCCCACCACCACTGACCCTTAGCCAGACCTTTATGTGGCACAAGGGGATAGGGCTTCCCTCTCTGCCTTCTCGCTTTCCCCTCTGCATGAGAAACAGCCGCTCAGGTGAGAGCGTAATATTGCTGATGCTCCCGTAATACCGCAAGCAGGCCAAGAAAGGTGAGTAAAACCACCAGCATGGCTTCCCTCTCTGCCTTCTTGCTTTCCCCTCCGCATGAGAAACAGCCGCTCAGGTGAGAGCATAATATTGCTGATGCAAGCGGGCCAAGAAAGGTGAGTAAAACCACCAGCATCCCACTGTGGCCAGCTTGTTCTTTGCCGGGGTGGCTGCTGTAGTGGCTATACCGCTCTCCCCTCCTTCGGCAACCAGGGTGCTCTCCTCCTAGAACAGGGGTGGCCAGACTTGCTTGACGTAAGAGCCACATAGAATAAAAGCCAGATGTTTGAGAGCCGCAAGACACGAACAAATATCACACGTTTTTACTGGGAAATATGCAAATTTGCTTTTTTATTAACATTAAATGAAACTGCCAAAAATAACAAAAGTGGTAAACGCAGATATTGATAATGATATTTATTTGTCCAATGACATTTGTTTGCTAATGGTATTTAGCTTCCCCAGCTACACAATGTGTGTAAAAGAGCCACATGTGGTTCCCGAGCCACAGTTTGGCCACCCCTGCCCTAGAAGCTGCCTCAGTGCTGGGCTGGAGAGAGATGTGGGAGTCGCTGGAGCGAACAGGCCCTTCATATTCATTCCTGGCCGGAGGCCTGCAGCTTCCAGGTCCTGCAGTCCCAGAGACGGCAGAATCTCTTTCAAGACGGGAACTCACAAGCCCCATAGGGGTAATGGGCTTGCTCACTATCCTAAAACAGGGGTGGATACAACATTGGGGAACAGTGTCCAAAACAGCCAAATGTAGCTCCCAAGCCACTGAACATCACTATTTCAGAGATTCTCATGAATGCACATACATTTAAATCCTAGGCACTCTCATTCAGAAGTCCTGACTGCCATGGGGCTCACTCCAATGTAAGAACTATACAACTGCAGCCTTAGTGTATTTCTGAAGTGATACAGAAAACCCAGGTTTACAGAATATACAGTTCAGCAAACACTGCTCACAAATCAGTAACAGAAAGTGTGTCTACATAGAACTATCCTACTGTTGTAATGTTAGTTCTAGTTTAATGATATTATCTTTGCCTCACCGAAGATGCCGCTAGGTTATTCTCTCTGTTACATTCCTCTCATCTGATTTTTTAATAATTTTTTTGGGCATCAAGTTGCAGCCAACTTAGGTTAACCCCATAGGGTTTTCAAGGCAAAACATGTTCAGAGTTGGTTTGACACATTGTGTGCATTTGTGAAGCAACCCTGGTATTCCTTGGCAATCTCCCATCCAAATACGGAGCAGGGCCAACCCTGCTTAACTTCTAAGCTCCGACAAGATTTGGCTAGCTGGGGCAATCCAGGTCAGGGCCTTTTTAATAAGTTCATATCTACAAATAAATATTAATGAAACTAAGGATTTTGAAGTTATTCACTGCTGTTTATTACAGATTCAAGTGGAGGAGGACACCAAAGAGGTCACAAGGTTTAATTCTGAATATTCTTAATTAACTTTATTTTTTATTGAACAATATAGCAATATTACAAACTGACAATAGAATGGAGTGCAATCAATGAAGCACAGCAGAAGATAAATACAAATATAGATTTAGATATCACACTTATCTTAACAGGTATAAATTAGCATTAGAAAATTCTAATTCTGAATATTCTTTACCTTCAGAGTTCTTCCTGAAAGGCCAATGATTTCGCCATCTTTCGGTTCTAAAACAGTTGAGGTATTTACATCACCACTTCCGGTTGTATCTATTATATCAATTATCTTGGGTTTCCCATCAGTGGTAACCTAAGAGATAAAAACAAGGATGATGCAACTAACAGAACTATTAATGCCATGAATGCATCATAAGACTTGGCAAAGCTACCATTTCAGACCTCTTCTGATTGATTTGGGAAGAAAGCAGTCAATGGCTGCAGTCAGACATAATGACAAACCATGGTTTGTTACAAGAAAAAAGCTTGGAATACCTCAGGTTCACAGTTTAACTCTGGTTTGCAAGCAAGATGTAACCACAGTTTGTGATTCTGAAGTAACAACAAAGTATGATACCAGAGGTACCATTATCATGAATAAAACTTTGTTGGTCTTAAAAGTACCACTAGACTCAGCCTTTGTTCTTCAAACCAACATGGCTATCCACCTAAACGAATTATAAATTGTTGTATTAGGAAAGTCTCATTTCCAAGGCATAAGTGGGGAGAAAAATAGAGGGAACATGTCCAAAGCTTATTCTCCTAAAAAAGAAGTTTGCCACTACATCCTAATGCGGCAAGTCTTTGACAGCAAAGTTAAGTTAATTTCAAAATAGAGGGAAGCTGGGTCAAACAAAGCTCAAGAATCATACCCATGACATATTTTCCCTGGAGTATTAATTAACTACACAAATATTTACCTCCTGCATGATCACTCAAGCATTTCTTAATAACGAGATGGCTACAGATATGGAACAGGTATTACATTAAGATAGATGGAATAGGAAGTGATGTAACATTCAGAGAAACAGGCAACTAGGACACTGATACAAACATCAACGTCATGCAAGGACAAGTATCATGCCATAACAGAGGCAGGCCTTGACAAGAAAGGGTAATACCATGTCTTAGTTTCCTAAGACAACAAGAGAAGAAAATGGGACAACTGACTTACATCAAATGGATTGGGGAATATTTGAAGTTAGTGGAAAACCTCTCATTATTAGCTACTGTTCAGCCCAAAAGGTAAATAAAATTTATTTTGAAATATGTACAATTAAACACAAAGCAAATTAGTTATGGAATTGGGCAAAGCTTAAATTTACTATGAAAAGTCAGAACATTAACAATCTGTGCATCATCCAGGGATGCACATATTTCCACCCAAATGACCACATGTTTCTTCTATCTTATAAATAAATCTTATTTAGAGAAGAGAATGATAAGAGGATACCCATCTAAAGTCTAACAATATTCTAGTCTGGCCAGGAAGATTAAATCTTTTCTATCAATAGAAAAGAAAAAATATGATATGTTAGAAATTTTAATTTTGACGGTAGCAACACTGGATTTTCACCAGACCTTCAAAGCAAAGTTTTCTAATTCTGGGACCTGTTTCCTCTCATGGGAAAAAAAATGTATACTAAGATGCCCCAAACTAATGAACCAAACCTGGAAGAAGAGTATTTCACAGAACGTATTGCTATTTCCTCTCAAATAACCCAGATGCTTAGGGGGAAAAATCATTTTTACCTGTGAGTAATTACAACCCATCCCAAATCAGGCTGCTAGGCTTGAATAAGAACTAATTAATTATCTGATAAGGAGCAGGTTTTCCCAAGGGTGAGATTTAACAATACAGAATTACACTATGCCCAACCCAACATCGCTAGAAGCTCACAATACTTGTGCAATAGTTATCCTTTTGTTTGCCTTGACAGATGATTTTCACATGCCAACTTCTTCACAATGATCTAGAATTTATTTAGGAAAAAGCATCCTTGGATATGGGAACAATTATCACAGGGAAAATTCAATAGGAGCTCCAAAAGACTTTTAAATTAGATATAACCATGCTTGTACCCTACAAAACAACAATCACATCTATGTGCACAGTCAGCCACACCAGCAGTACAATTCCTGTGCAAAGTTACTCCAATCCAAGTCCACTTATTTCAGTGCACTTCAACAGAAGCAATTCTGCACAGGACCACACAGTTGAACTTCAACTTAAGTCTATGGGGATCTAATACTGGGCTCCATTATGACCACTAGCTTTAGTCTGATTTGTCAGGGACAAGAAATGTAATACACTCACAATTCACACACAACAAGGTCTATCCTCTTCCTGCCTATTATGAATTAAGGTGTTTCCTCAAGATGTAATTCTGATTAGCAGACACATATCTGAATAAAGATATTCAAACACAGTAAACAAGGCCGTCTTACAAAATATTAGCTGGTTTCCTTATGCACTAGAAGAAGCTTATTCCTAGAATCTAAATCTAGCATTACCTTTATTCTCCTGAAACCGAGTTGTTTTTAAAACACAAATAAGTTCCTTTTTAATGCTGACATCCCTGAGCTTCGCTCTGTATCTAGCCTAACAATTCAAAGATGACAACAATTGCATAATTAAAGTCAACGTAAACTGGACAAACTTTGGCTTGCCACACTCCATCACGACAAAATGTTCTTAGAATTTTCTGGCTATACAAGAATACATTATACTTCAGAAATGTTTTAAAGGCACATACACTGGAAGAAAATGTATGTGCCTTTATAGAAAGATACACCTCACATTCCCTAGAAGAACGAAACATAGAAATGCTTTCGCATTTTCTCTCCGCCCCTCTACTGCTCTCTTTCCTGCACTCTGCTCTTCTCCTCAATGCCAAAATGCAGATTATAAACTGCTTGGGACAGGGTCCTGTGACACCTCCCCCCCCAATGCTACTCAGTAAAAGCCACCAGATCCATTTTATGGCCTGGCACAACAGCAGTAGGAGTCACTATTCTGCAAGGTGACTCCAATCCAACCCAGCAGGGCTTGAAGCCGCCCTGCAAATCTGTTCAAGGTACTACGAGGAAGTAACTGTTGTCCTGGATAATAAGGCACCACTCTTATTAAAAAAAAATACACAAGCTACACTCGCAACATAACCTTGGACAGTTACTCCAGCCCGAAGCCACTGTAAAGCCGATAGCCTTTCAGAGGTGCCACAAACAGTTCACTATTGTTTTTATGAAAGAGGACTACTGCCTTAAAGGTCATGTTTAATGCATCCCCCCCCCCTCTTTCCCGGCTAAAATCTCCTCACAATCTGTCAACCTGCCTTTCCAAAATCTCCTAAGACATCTACACAAACACACAGACACCGGCTCACTTCACTCTCTTACCCAACTTTTTACACGCACGCACCCCGACTGCCTTCCCCTCCAGGGACACCGACGACACCTCCTCCCCCCCGCAGCTACCCTTTCCATCGCCAATGCAGCCTCTCCGTTAATAACCCCTCAGCCTAAAACTGGAGAAGCGACTAAAGCGAAGCCGATTCAGAGCCCCCCTACCCTCTCCAGCAGCATCCCGTCCGCCCGTCCCCCCCCCCCCCGTTTACCTGCATGCCCGGCGCTCCGGGGTCCACCCCTGTGTCTAAGATGGCCAATAAGACTCCCCTTCCGTCATATTCTGGATAACGGGTGAGGAAGGAGGCAGCGCCGGTTTCCTTCTTGGGCAGAAGTCCTTGGAATGGGAACTGCTCGTCGCCGGCCGCCGCCATGTTAGGAAAAACAAGCAGAGACAGAGAGAGAGGGGGAAGAGCGACCAGTCACACACGCGACAGGGACAAGGGGGGGGGACAAGAAGCTCTTCAGACCCAAGTGACGTAACGGCTCTGCCAAGCGTAGCGAGCGGCGCTACTCAGTCCTCTGGAAACGGGAAAGAGGCTGCGCTTTCCCCCCACGGGCGCATGCGCCTTAGACAATAAAGAAGCACAAGTGGCCGGCTCCCTGGGTCAGTCTTGCCCTTAAAGCGGCAGAAGGGTGGGGGGGTGGAGAAAAAGAGGGGGAGGAGAGGGTTAACATGTTGAAAACGAAACCTAGTGACCTATCAAGGCGCGGCGCGGCATGGAACTGAAATCCGATTGGTTCTGGCGCGCACCAACTAGAGGCGGGATGTCTGATCCCGTCCTCCCCCCCCCTCTCCGGTGGGCTCGCGGTCACTTATAAGGACCCCTTCCTCGAGCCACCTCAAATAGCGCGAGATTTGGTCGTTTGCGCCTCGGTGCTTATTTAAGAGGGGAGGGCGGTATAGGGCCTTAAAGAAGTTATAGGACGGGATGGTGTAGGAGGAGGGAATGCGTGGGTGAAGGGTTCCTTCCAAAAACAGGGCGGGTGGAGGGAAGCATGCAAACTGTAACCGGAAAGGTTTTTCTGTTTAAAAAGATAATACTTCAGTGTAGTTTTGAGACAGTAGAATAGGTCCTCACCCCATAAGACGCTATCGTTACGTGCTGAGCCGGTTGTCCAGTGTTTTAAGAGGGTTCTTGGCTCCAAACTTCTGCCGTCACAAACATAAAATAGGCAACGTCCTTGTAATAAGATTTATATCTAGAGTTGCCAGACCCAGGTCGGGAAACTCATGGAGATTTGGGGGTGGAGCCTGTGGTAGAAAGAGACCGCAATGGGGTACAATGCCATAGAGTCCACCCTCCAAAGCAGCCATTTTATCCAGGGGAGCTCATGTCTGTACTGTGGAGATGAGCTGTAATTCTGGGGGATCCCAGATTCCTCCTGGAGGCTGGCATCCCTAATAGCCACGAGAGAGAGTTTGTGTTAAGTGCCCTCAAGCTGCTTTTGTCTTATGGCAACCCTATGAAATAATTAATAGCCTCCAAACTGTCCTATCATTGTTCACCTCTTACAAACTGAGGGCTTGACTTCCTTGATTTAGTTAATCCGCCTCATGTTGGGTCCCCCTCTTTTCCTGCTGCCTTCAACTTTTCCTAGCATTAATGTCTTTTCCAGTAACATAATGTGAACAAGTATGATAGCCTCAGTCTGATCATTTTAGCTTCTAGGGAGAGTTCACGCTTGATTTGATTTTGGAACCCAGTTATTTGTCTTTTTGGCAGTCCATTCCTCCAGCACATGTCAAATGAATCAACTTTCTTGCTATCGGCTTTCCTTTATCGTCTTAACTCTCACTCACTCTCCATACATGGTAATGGGGAATACTATGAATTATCTGGATCTCGATCACCAGTGACACATCCTTACCCTTAAGGATCTTTTCTAGCTCCTTCAGGGCTGTGCTTCCCAGTCTCAATTTCCTTCTGATTTCTGCAGTCTCGCTTAGGGCTGATGATGGAGCCCAGGAATAGAAAATCTGGAAACTTTTCAGTTTCTTCATTGTCAGCCTTAGAGTTGTGTAATTCCCCATTAGTCATTACTTTTGTCTTCTCAAAGTTAAACTTTAATCTGCTTTGGCATTTCCTGCTTCAGCCTTCAGCAATAGTTGTTTCAAGTCTTCACTATTTTCTGCCAGTAATGTGGTGTCATCTGCGTATCTCAAATTGTTAATGTTCCCTCTGCCAGTTTTCATTCCATCTTCATCTAAATCTAATCTAATCCAGTTCTCCTTACAATATGTTCTGCACATAGATTGAACAGGTAGGGAGATAAAAGACAAGGACAATAATAACTCTTATACCTGTTTGGAGCTTGTATAACAGCTCACAGAACACACATGCACAAACCCCTCATGAAAGTATAAAAAAGGAATAACAAAGCCACTTCCGGTCTTGTGTAGATGACAGACACCCTGCGCCAGTAAATGCTCCTTAATAAAAGTACATACAGTTCTAAAGGCATATTAAAAACCAAATCATTCCTCAATGAATCAAAACTCTGGCTGGTTTACTAATTCAAAAACAGGCTCTGGCTCTGTGTTTGGAAGACATTTAATTAAAGGATAATAGCAAAAACATAATTATACAGGAACTTAAATTGCTTGTTTACCTGCTCGGTTCATTTTCTATGGTGATAAAATTAAACCCTTAATTAACTCTTAATTAAATAAACTCTTAAACACAGAACACATGTAATAACCATATTTGTATCTTATAACCTATTATATTTTTATTCTGCCTGTACTATATGGATGTTAAAACAGCATACATAGTCCTCCCATTCCCCAGTATATTCGCCCATCAGTCATGTGATGTCGTTCAAGATGAGCTTAAAGGTGACCTTTGTGAAGGACTGTTATTTTAGGATTATTTTTATCTTGTTTTGTGACCTGTGGAGGAATCCACTCTCCATTGTCTTGCACAGTGTAGCCAGATCCTTTGTTCTGTTTTATTCCTCTTCTTCTCCCAGTATGATGACTGAGGCAGTTCCATAGCAAGGTCCTTTTCCCATCTTTCTGTATTTTTTAAACTAACTTCCTCTTTCTTTTCTAATAAAGTACATAATGCCGTTAATAATAGTAATAAAAGATTACTACCCAAAGGAGTCTCAGAGTGGCTTACAATCCCTTCCCCTTCCCCTCTGCACAATAAACACTCTGTGAGGTAGGTGGGGCTGAGAGAGCTCTTTCAAGAACTGTCCTTGAGAGAACAACACTGAAATAACTTATGACTGACCCCAAGTCACACCAGCAGCTGCATGTGGAGGAGCAGGGAATCAACCCCCGTGCTCTTAACCACTTTATCAAAGCCACGTTGACCAGGTGGCTTAACCAGTTTCCTTATAAGAAAATAGAATTGTGATGCCTTTAATTTTTACTGAAAGATCAGGAAAAATCTGCGGTTCATGGGAAAAGACTCTGTGGAGACATTAGTCAGCACTTATAAAACGCTTACCGAAGCCTGTAAAGATTCTTAAAAAGTCTCATTATATACACCTATCTCACCTGCTGCCTATTTGCTTCTTTGTCAAAACATCTCTTCCCCAGAGTGTGCGCACACAAAAAAAGGCTAGACCCAGCTTTTCTCCCCCTTGTTGGAGTAGGAGGTGCTTCAGAAGAACTGAAGATACATCACCTTAGCATCTCCAGGGAGCACCTTTTCAGGAACAGCAGCCTCCGTAGGAGGATGCTTGGCTTGGAAATTCCCAGCATTCTGTCAATGACCTTGGCATCCTATGGCAACTGTTTTGTGATTGCCCTCCATGGCAGCCGTTTTGTGGAGGTGCCCGCTCCCTATCCTGAAAATTACAAAAGTATTCACAAGCTCCGCAAGAGTGGAGACCTCTGAATTAAAGATTTCCAGAAGAAGCAGTTCTAGTCTTTGATTTTGCATCCTTCTTTCTAGATTCTGCATTCTGAGTCTCCAGACAGATGCTGGGCCCTGAAATACCTTTACTGAAGTACAATTGTGCCCTCTTGTGTTTATTGATAAAATAGCATCTTATAAAGTTTCTTTGGATTTATTTTTTGGCTTGATAGTCTCTTGGTCAGGGCCGTATTCTGAGTCACATGCATGTATTCATATATATATATCTGGCCTGTCCACATATAAATCAAGAGGTCAAGGTGGGTGTCTGTGGTTTGAATCCAAAGTACTCCGAGCAGAGTGAAGCTTGTGAAACAGCAGTTTCCCATTTTCTCTCTCCTCTTGAGCCCCTCTGCTCCTGGGGCGCAGGAACCCTCCTAACAGAAAAGGAAAGAGAGGTTGGGGGGGGGGAGTCTGAACTGAGCGGGCAGATCAGCGCAAAGCCCAATTCTGCCAATGGTAGAGCATCTGCTTGGCATGCAGAAGGGCCTACGTTCAATCTCCACCATCTCCAGTTAAAAAGCTAAAGTAGTGAGTGATGTGAAAGACCTTTACCTGTGACACTGGAGAGTCGCTGCCAGTCTGACTAGACAATACTGATGCTGATGGACCAGTGGTCTGAGTGAGTATAAGCCATCTTCATGTGTTCATGTGCCATTCCATTGGCATCACCATAAGTGCCATTATGCCAGTCGAAGAATACTTTTGGATCTGGCCCTGTTTTTTTCCTCTCACTTGAAAAGGAATGTGCAGTTGAGAGAAGCCTAAACCCTTTCAATCTGGTTTGGATCTGCACTTTCAGGTTGGTGTTTTCCAGGCCAAACACCTGTAACAAACAACAGGAAATCGCCACCCCCCCAACCCCAGTCCCAAATCTAGAAATTAATTTGCTTAATATGGACAGCATCATCTCCCCTATATAAGGGCTTTATTTCCCCTTTCTGTGTAAATACTACATAATCTAAAACGACCACCACTGCCTGTGTTAACAAATCCCTGGACACTCTCTGTTTCCAAGTGGAGAGACTAGGAGCCTAGTCCCCATTGTTCTTACAGGGTCAAGCTCTGGGGTATTCGCTGGCCCCTGGTGGCGGTCAGTGGACATAACACTCTGTCAATTAGCATGCGTTTAAACTGGCAAGTTAGCCTGGATTGTAGCTTGACATTTTGTTGTTTAACAGAAACAACACTTTCTCTTGCATGCTATTATTTTAGCTGTTAGGAATGTGAAGTTTCTGGACATCACCACTGAGGGTTTTTACATGCTATGCTTGTCTTCTGTGCAATCAGTGCAGCACATGAATGCTTCAGGATTTTCAAGGCAATCCCCTGCTTCCACTGTCGTTTTCTACATGCTGCATTGATTGTAGAAGTAGTCTGGAAGATCCCATGCTTCCGCCAAAGAGCTCAAGGATTTTCTGTCTTCCATCACCACAACCCTGTGAGGTAGGATGGATTACAGAGAGAGAGTGAGAGAGAGAGAGAGCAAACCATCCATTTTTGGTCTTTTGACTGCTGTGTGGGCATACAAAACTCAAGGGGTATGCTATTAGCCAGAGTTAACAAAGGTGGCAAAAGATAATTAGCAAGAAGGAACATGAATTTTATTTCAGTTAAGTAAAGTACAGACCAGAAAGGAGAAGGGAGGAGAAGGCAAATTGGAAAAGAACAATAGAAATGTTGCAAGAACTGCAAGGCAGTGTCCTTTACGTGTTTAAAAATAGATGATGCAATAGAAATCTTTTGCATTAATGTAAATGG